TAATAGGACCAGAAAAGCGCAGCCACGTGACCCGGCGGAAGGAAAACGCTCGTAACGAGCTCTTCCACCTCCAAAACACGGAATGATCTGCACATGTGCGAGAAGTGCAGCGGACGTTCTTCATTCGCGAGCGCCGATGATTTATACAGCTTGCAACCCTCCCACGCCCATGCTGGCTTGGTATTAGGACCAGACAAGTGCAGCCACGTGACCGGCGGAAGAAAAACGCTCAAAACGAGGGCTTCCATACCCTAAAACGCGGAAGGATCAGCACATGTGCAGGAAGTGCAGCGGGCGCTCTTCATTCGCAAGCGCCGATGACCGATGATGCTTGCAACCCTCCCACGCCCTTGCTGGCATAATAATAGGACCAGACAAGCACAGCCACGTGATCCGGCGGAAGAAAAAAGCTCGGAACGAGCGCTTCCACCCCCAAAACGCAGAAGGATCCGCATGTGAGGATCTAGGATCGAGCTCAGAAAAGAGAATAGTAATTGAATCGAATTGAATTGAATTGAATGATCACCTGGGTACAACACGAGGCTATATATAGGCTCGACACAAAGCACCGTAACCAGGTGTTACGCGAAGGTTCCGCGGGTCGCGTAGCGTCCCGAACAGTTCCTTACCGAATTCGGTAGAAGGCAATTCGGTAGAAGGCAATTCGGTGGCAACCGAGAAGGCCAGAATTCGGTGCACGTAACCTAGCTCGGTGCTATAACTATAATAAAACATAGGAAAGCACCTAGCCTATGATATCAAGTAATTCATGCATGCATATGATTATCCTATGCTAGAAATAGCATAATAAAGTAGAGGCAAGCAAGCATAGCTGGCATAAGCCGTCGTACTCTCACACCGCACATGTGCAGGAAGTGCAGCGGGCGCTCTTCATTCGCGAGCGCCGATGACCGATGATGCTTGCCACCCTCCCACACCCTTGCTGGCTTGGTAATAGGACCAGACAAGTGCAGTCACGTGACCCGGCGGAAGAAAAACACTTGGAACGATAGCTTCTACCCCCAAAACGCGGAAGGATCCGCACATGTGCAGGAAGTGTAGCGGGCGCTCTTCATTCGCGAGCGCCGATGACTGGTGATGCTTGCGACCCTCTCACGCCCTTGCTGGCTTGGTAATAGGACCAAACAAGCGCAGCCATGTGACCCGGCGGAAGAAAAACACTCGGAACGAGAGCTTGCACCCCCAAAACGCGGAAGGATCCGCGCATGTGCAGAAAGTGCAGAGGGCGCTCTTCATTTGCGAGAACCGATGATCGATGATGGTCGCAACCCTGCCACGCCCTTGTTGGCTTGGTAATAGGCCCGGACAAGCGAAGCCACGTGACCCGGTGGAAGAAATGCGCTCGAAACGACCGCTTCCACCCCCAAAACACGGAAGGATCCGCACATATGCAGGAAGTGCAGCGGGCGCTCTTCATTCGCGAGCGCCGATGACCGATGATGCTCGCAACCCTTCCACGCCCTTGCTAGCTTGGTAATAGACCCCGAAAGGCATAGCCACGTGACCCAGCGGAAGAAAAACGCTCGCAACGAGCGATCCACCCTCAAAACGCAGAAGGATCTGCACATGTGCAGGAAGTGCAGCGGGCGCTCTTCATTCGCGAGAACCGATAACCGATGATGATTGCAACCCTCCCATGCCCTGCTGGCTTGGTGGTAGGCCGAGAGAAGTGCAGCCATGTGACCCTTCGGAAGAAAAACGCTCGGAACGAGCGCTTCCAACCTCGAATGTGGATGGATGTGAACATGTGCAAAAGGTGCAGCGCAGGCTCTTCATTCACGAGCGTCGATGACCGATGATGCTCGCAACCCTCCCACGCGCTTGCTGGCTTGGTAATAGGACCAGACAAGCGCAGCCATGTGACCCGGCGGAAGAAAAACGCTCGTAACGAGCATATCCACCCCCATACCACGGAAGGATCCGCACATGTGCAGGAGGTGCAGTGAGCGCTCTTCATTCGCGAGCGCCAATGACCGATGATGCTTGCAACCCTCCCACGCCCTTGCTGGCTTGGTAAAAAAACCATACAACCGCAGCCATCTGATCTGGCGGTAGAAAAACGCTTGGAACGAGCGCTTCGACCCCCAAAACGCGGAAGGATCCGCACATGTGCAGGAAGTGCAGCGGACGCTCTTCATTCGCGAGCGGCGATGACCGACTATGCTCGCTACCCTCCCACGCCCTTGCTGGCTTGGAAATAGGCCCAGACAAGCGCAACAACGTGTCCCGGCGGGAGAAAAACGCTCGTAACTTGTGCTTCCAGCCCCAAAACGCGGAAGGATCTGCACATGTCCAGGAAGTGCAGCGGGCGCTATTCATTCGCGAGCGCCGATGACCGATGATGCTCGCAACCCCCCCACGCCTTTGCTGGCTTGGTAGTAGGACCAGACAAGCGCAGCCACGTTACCCGGCGGAGAAAAACGTTTGGAAAGGATCTGCACATGTGTAGGAAGTGCAGCGGGCGATCTTCATTCGCGAGCGTCGATGACCGATGATGCTCGCAACCCTTCCATGCCCTTGCTGGCTTGGTAATAGGCCCAAACATGCGCAGCCACATGATCTAACGGAAGAAAAACGCTTGGAACGAGCGCTTCCACCCCAAAAACGCGCAAGGATCCGCAAATGTGCAGGAAGTGCATCTCGTGCTCTTCATTTGCGAGCGCCAATGACTGATGATGCTCGCAACCCTCCCGCGCCCTTGCTGGCTTGGTAATAGGCCCAGACAAGCGCAGCCACGTGACTCGGAGGAAGAAAAACGCTCGGAACGAGCGCTTCCAGCCCAAAAACGCGGAAAGATTCGAACATGTGTAGGAAGTGCAGCGGGCGCTCTTCATTTGCGAGCGCCGATGATCGATGATGCTCGCAACCCTCCTGTGCCCTTGCTAGTTCAATAATAGGACGAGACAAGCACAGCCACGTGACCTGGTGGAAAACAAACGTTCAGAACGAGCGCTTCCACCACAAAAACGCTGAAGGATCCGCACATGTGCAGGAAGTGCAGCGGGCGCTCTTCATTTGCGAGCGCCGATGACCGATGATGCTCGCAACCGTTCCACGCCCTTGCTGGCTTGGTAATAGGTCCAGACAAGAGCTGCCATGTGACCAAGTAGAAAAAACGGCTCGGAACGAGCGCTTCCACCCCCAAAATGCGGAAGGATCCGCACATGTGGAAGAAGTGCAGGCCACCAGCGCCAACACCTCCAGCTCCAGCACCCCCAGAAGTAGCACCTCCAGTGCCATGACCTCCAGCTCCAGTACCCCCAGAACTAGCACCGCCATTGCCCGCACCTCCTGGTCCAACACCTCTCGAACGAGCGCCCCTAGACCGAGTTCTGCTAGTGGCTGTACCTCTAGCTCCAACACCAACCGAGTCAACAGTAACCTGTCGCGGACGTGCCGAAGGCTGCTGGTTGGACTGTGAGGAGGACTGCGGGGAGGGAGACGCTACCTGACGGGCGACCGAGGTTAGAGGGGTAGTGTCAGACACACCTGACGGGGCAGGACCAGGGGGGGGGCGGAGGTACCGGAGGAGCGGGAGCAGGGGGAGGAGAGGGTGCGAGGAAGAGGGGGGGAGGGAGAACCGGGAGACCTCGACAGGGGTACCGGGTGTAATAGGACACTGACTCGTGAAACCGAACGTCACGAGAGTCTAGAAACTGGTGGAGGGCCGGGTGGTAAAAGGAGTAGTCGGGAGAGCCCACCGGGAAACCAAGGAAGACACAGAAGATGGCGCGAGCCGGGAGCTTGTCCGCAGATGTGTCGCGGACAAGCGGAAGGCAGCCCCAGACACGAGAGGTCGACCCAACATTAGGAGACCCGGTCCAAAGACTGGTCGGTGAAACCTCTGGTCGCGAGACACGTGGTTGGAGGTTCAGCTGGTGCGCGGCGAAGCGAAGAGCATAGGGCCACAGAAAATGGAGCACACGGGCATGGATCATGGACGTGCGGGCGATGTCCATAACCAAGCCAATGCGGCGCTCAGCAACCCATTCTGATGTGGGGACTTCGGCAGCGTCCAGGAGTGTCTGATGCCCTGCTTACCGCGGAACCCGTCAAGTACGCTGGAGCGAAACTCACCCCCATGGTCGGAGTGGAGACAACGGACACGACTACCACGAGTGCCCTCAGTGGCCAGAAGCCACCGGATCAGCGTAGAAGTCGCGGGCTTTTTCGTGAGAAGAAACACCGTGGTGTAGCTGGAGTAGTCGTCAACGACCACTAGAAAGTAGCGCTCCCTCTCAGGTCCCATCGTAGGGGCAAGGCCCCATGAGCGACGCGACGGGCTAGGGCAGGGCGCACGGGCGACGAGACGGGCTGGGGAAAGGCGCACGGGAGATGCGACGGGCTAGGGCAGGGCGTACGGGCGACGCGATGGGCTGGGGCAGGGCGCATGGGCTACATGACGGGCTAGGGTAGGGCGCACGGGCTACACGCCGGGCTGGGGCGGAGGCGCGATACGAAGGGCGTGGAGGGCGCGTAGGGGAGGGCTAGGCGCGGAGGGCGTGTTACGGAGGGTGCGTTACGGAGGGCGCGGAGGGCGCGGGGGCGCAGGGGGGGCTAGGGCACGGAGGGCGCTAGGGCGCGGAGGGCGCGAGCTAGGCTAGGCTAGGCAAGGATTCTCAACCTTCTCGTGATACCATCTCAGAAATAGAATGCAACTGAATGGTTGGATTAGGGTAGGGAGGCAATACAAATACCGTAGGAAGTCTAACAAAGTTGTACCCTCTATGGAGTACCTAACTGCAGCCTATCACAACAATAACATTTGACAGGTGGGTCTTATATTCGGTAACAGCGAAACTTACAGCATGTGCAAAATTTGCGCGAGTCGCACGTCAGATACCCAGAGGAGTACAATAGCTGCGCTGGATCACGTTAGCAAACAAAGAATGGATATCGCCTTTGGTCTTTCCTTGTCGTGCCTGGAGTGGGTAAGCTCTCGTGGACCACGAATCGTCACGAGCAGCAGTCTATTCCATTCATATCTTGCCGGCGACTAGCTTTGCTTCGATCTCCTCCAGCTGGAGCCCTCTGGTCTCGGGCACCCACAGGTAGATGAAGAGGAGGGCTCCAGCACCGATGGTGGCAAACGAGTAGAACGTGCCTGCTTGCCCCAACGCGCCCTGCACATGGAGGAACGGGCAGGGCAGGCAGCGCGGGTGGCATGGGAAGCAAGAGAGCAGAGGAGGAACAGTGCGTGAGACGGAAGTCCCGTGGCATGCGTACATGCCAGCAACTCGTCCAGTGAGAGGATGCTCAAGTGCCAGTGTTGGCCCCACCACACCCCTGTGCTAATTGCTACCGAGTCAGGGCGGAGCAGGTACTTGAATGGGCGGCAGGGCGAAGGTGACGAGGGCGTTGGAGGCAAAGTTGAGGAGCGTGGCGATGCTCTGCGCTCGGCCCCGCACCGGCAGAGGAAACACCTCCGACACCATTAGCCATGCTATGGGGCCAAACGACACCTGCTCTGCCACAAGCGCACACGCAGGTAGGCACGCCAACACACACGCATGCAGGAACATAGGCATGCGGGCACACGGGCAGGTGGGCTCAGGGGCAGGTGGGCACAGAAGCATGTGGGCACAGAAGCATGTGGGCACAGAAGCATGTGGGCACAGAAGCAGGTGGGCACAGAAGCAGGTGGGCACAGAAGCATGTGGGCACAGAAGCACAGAAGCATGTGGGCACAGAAGCATGTGGGCACAGAAGCATGTGGGCACAGAAGCATGTGGGCACAGAAGCAGGTGGGCACAGAAGCAGGTGGGCACAGAAGCATGTGGGCACAGAAGCACAGAAGCATGTGGGCACAGAAGCATGTGGGCACAGAAGCAGGTGGGCACAGAAGCAGGTGGGCACAGAAGCATGTGGGCACAGAAGCATGTGGGCACAGAAGCAGGTGGGCACAGAAGCATGTGGGCACAGAAGCATGTGGGCACAGAAGCATGTGGGCACAGAAGCATGTGGGCACAGAAGCATGTGGGCACAGAAGCATGTGGGCACAGAAGCATGTGGGCACAGAAGCAGGTGGGCACAGAAGCAGGTGGGCACAGAAGCAGGTGGGCACAGAAGCATGTGGGCACAGAAGCATGTGGGCACAGAAGCATGTGGGCACAGAAGCAGGTGGGCACAGAAGCATGTGGGCACAGAAGCATGTGGGCACAGAAGCAGGTGGGCACAGAAGCAGGTGGGCACAGAAGCAGGTGGGCACAGAAGCAGGTGGGCACAGAAGCATGTGGGCACAGAAGCATGTGGGCACAGAAGCAGGTGGGCACAGAAGCAGGTGGGCACAGAAGCAGGTGGGCACAGAAGCAGGTGGGCACAGAAGCATGTGGGCACAGAAGCATGTGGGCACAGAAGCAGGTGGGCACAGAAGCATGTGGGCACAGAAGCAGGTGGGCACAGAAGCATGTGGGCACAGAAGCAGGTGGGCACAGAAGCAGGTGGGCACAGAAGTCAAGCCCATGCGGGGGGTGATGAGGTGGAGGCAGCAAGAAGATTGTCGTGTGGTGGCAGCAGACGGGTGGTGACGTCACATGGCTAGCAGAGGAGGGAGGTGACGTCACATGGCTAGCAGAGGAGGGAGGTGACGTGACCTGGTAGCAGCCGACGAAGAGCAGCAGGGCGAGCACACTGAGGGCGGGCACGCCGCTGAGGCTGCTGTACGTCCACCCCAGCAGCACCAGGCTCGCCACCTGCACCCACTCTCATGCGCGCTTGCACGGGCCAGCATGGGGCGGCAGAATGAGGTTCAAATGAGGTAGAGACAACGGAAGCAACAGCAGAGAAGAAAACGCAAGGGAACTAAAATTTTCACAAGCCCTGCCACCCACAAGCCCTGCCGCCCACCAGCCCTGGCACCCACGAGCCCTGGCACCCACGAGCCCTGGTACCCACGAGGCCGGAGACGCCAGCGAGCAGCAGAGGGCGGCGGCCCCAGCGGTCCACAGTGGCGATGGCCACGCCCGTCATGCCCAGCTGCTCCATGGGGGGGGTGGAGGGGGGAGCAAGGAGCGTGCGGGCGTGAGGGGTGGGGGGAATGGAGGCAGAGAGACAAAGGCAAGGGCAAGTGAGCAAGTGATGGCTGGTCATGGCAGGCGCCTTTCCCAAGCGTGGTGGTGCCTTAAACCTGCATGCAGGCGCTCTGGACATGCAGCAGCAGCACGCACCTTGAAGAGACCCAGCAGCACCGACACCCGGGTGGCATCAGTGGCAGCCGAGAAGCCCGCATCCTGGCACACAAGACCACGTGAGGCGAGGCAAGGCAAGGCGAGGTGAGCTGAGGTGAGGCAAGCAAGGACGAGGGAGGCAGGGCAGTGGGAGGGGAGACTCGAGATGGGTGCACTCCGCACCAGAGGATGGGCAGCAGACGCATGGATGGGGACGAGCGACAGGGCGCATGAAGAAAGCGTGGAGGCACCTGGAGGATGGAGGCACCTGGAGGATGGAGGCACCTGGAGGATGGAGGCACCTGGAGGATGGAGCCTGCATAGTAGAGCACGCTGGGCTGCCCTGTGACCTGCAGGGAGGGCAGGCGGGCCAGAAGGAGGGACGAAGAGGGGAAGAGCATAAGAGGCAGGCGACAGGCCGCGGGACGTGCTGCTTAGGATTCACAGCCTCGACCTGCAAGTTGGGGAGAGGCTCTCTTTCCTAAGTGGCAAACCGGTGTGCCCACACTGTGGGGAATTCGAAACTATGGAACACTGCCTCTTCAGCTGCCTGTGCATCCAGCAAGTGGTGGTGGCAGTCAGGAGGGCCTTGCGTGTACTGAACCCAGCGAGACATGTGTCGGAGCTGGGGGACCTGCTGTTCGGGAAAGCAGCCTCTGCCTCAGCGTTTCCTGAAGCATCTCTTTCCGCCATTGCGATACATCAGATCTGGGCGGAGCGGTGTGACTGTGTGTTCCGGGGGAAGAGATTCCGGGCTCGGCACGTCCTCAGGCGCATTGAGGCAGCCTTTCGGTTGCATGTGAGGGTGTACACGCGTGCCATGGGGAGGAAGCTCGGGAAAAGCGGCGGTTTGAAAAAACACGGCAAATCACATGTGCTGGCAGGACAGGAGGACAGCTTGCTTGGACGCATCCGTTGTCCGACGGCGAAGGGCTGGAAGTGGACGCACAGTTTTGGCGCGCTTTGGAGTCTTGCAAGGGGGGCTCTGCGTCCGCCTTAGACGTCTCGCATGGGGCCACCACTGAGGGTTGGCCTCTCACGCTCAGTTACGACTGACATATATCTCTTATGCGCTTGCCTTTCCGGTGTATTTTGATATATACATAATGAAAAAAAAAAAAAAGAGGCAGGCGAGAGGAGAGGCGAGGCGGGGGAGAGGTGGGGCGGGGGGGGGGGGGGGGGGGGGGGCACCACGTGCCACGCTTCTCCTCCATGCACAAGACCCCTGTGCTCCATCCCATCAGCCCATCCATGCCATCGCCATGAAAGTGCACACGCCTACGTCTACGTCACGATGAAGGTTGGCTGGCACACGGGCATGAAACCCCTGTGGGAATGTGACGAGCCCACCTGCTGGAAGAACACGAGCCCACAGGCAATCACCAGCGCGCGCCCACTCGCCCCTGCCACCAGCTCGCCCCACCCACTTGCACCCCCCTTGCCCCCCCCCTCCCCCATGGCCTCCACCATGCCTTGCACCTCCCTCCGCGCCTCCCCCTCCCCACACGCGCCCCCCCTCAGCCGCCTCACCGCCTCCACTGCCCGCCTCCGGGCCTCCTCGCCCCTGGCCCCCGCCTGCCCATCCTGCCCATCCTCCCCCTCTTGCCCGCGCGTCTCCCGGTGGTGGTGCTGCTGCTGGGCGCGCAGCAGCAGCCAGCGGGGGGAGGGTGGCAGCCACGCCATGCCGGCCGCCATCACGAGTGCCAGCGGCGCTGCCACCCCGTAGATGCCTCGCCAGGCGCCCTCCGTGCCCACCAGCACACTGCCACTCACGTACCCCAGCTGGCCTCGCCCGTCGCCATGCCCCGCATCACACGACCCCCGGCAGGGCAGCAAGCAAGTGACGGGCAGAGGGCAGAGGGATAGTACAGAGGGGAGAGACAACACTGTGAGGGCAATGGACCAGAATGGGAGGTGGGGCGCAGCAGCATAGGAGGTGGGGCGCAGCAGCATGGGAGGTGGGGCGCAGCAGCATGGGAGGTGGCGCGCAGCAGCTGGGAGGTGGCGCGCAGCAGCATGGGAGGTGGCGCGCAGCAGCATGGGAGGTGGCGCGCAGCAGCATGGGAGGTGGCGCGCAGCAGCATGGGAGGTGGCGCGCAGCAGCATGGGAGGTGGCGCGCAGCAGCATGGGAGGTGGCGCGCAGCAGCATGGGAGGTGGGGCGCAGCAGCATGGGAGGTGGCGCGCAGCAGCATGGGAGGTGGCGCGCAGCAGCATGGGAGGTGGCGCGCAGCAGCATGGGAGGTGGCGCGCAGCAGCATGGGAGGTGGCGCGCAGCAGCATGGGAGGTGGCGCGCAGCAGCATGGGAGGTGGCGCGCAGCAGCATGGGAGGTGGCGCGCAGCAGCATGGGAGGTGGCGCGCAGCAGCATGGGAGGTGGGGCGCAGCAGCATGGGAGGTGGGGCGCAGAAGCATGGGAGGTGGCGCGCAGCAGCATGGGAGGTGGCGCGCAGCAGCATGGGAGGTGGGGCGCAGCAGCATGGGAGGTGGCGCGCAGCAGCATGGGAGGTGGCGCGCAGCAGCATGGGAGGTGGCGCGCAGCAGCATGGGAGGTGGCGCGCAGCAGCATGGGAGGTGGGGCGCAGCAGCATGGGAGGTGGCGCGCAGCAGCATGGGAGGTGGCGCGCAGCAGCATGGGAGGTGGCGCGCAGCAGCATGGGAGGTGGCGCGCAGCAGCATGGGAGGTGGCGCGCAGCAGCATGGGAGGTGGCGCGCAGCAGCATGGGAGGTGGCGCGCAGCAGCATGGGAGGTGGCGCGCAGCAGCATGGGAGGTGGCGCGCAGCAGCATGGGAGGTGGCGCGCAGCAGCATGGGAGGTGGCGCGCAGCAGCATGGGAGGTGGCGCGCAGCAGCATGGGAGGTGGCGCGCAGCAGCATGGGAGGTGGCGCGCAGCAGCATGGGAGGTGGCGCGCAGCAGCATGGGAGGTGGCGCGCAGCAGCATGGGAGGTGGCGCGCAGCAGCATGGGAGGTGGCGCGCAGCAGCATGGGAGGTGGCGCGCAGCAGCATGGGAGGTGGCGCGCAGCAGCATGGGAGGTGGCGCGCAGCAGCATGGGAGGTGGCGCGCAGCAGCATGGGAGGTGGCGCGCAGCAGCATGGGAGGTGGCGCGCAGCAGCATGGGAGGTGGCGCGCAGCAGCATGGGAGGTGGCGCGCAGCAGCATGGGAGGTGGCGCGCAGCAGCATGGGAGGTGGCGCGCAGCAGCATGGGAGGTGGCGCGCAGCAGCATGGGAGGTGGCGCGCAGCAGCATGGGAGGTGGCGCGCAGCAGCATGGGAGGTGGCGCGCAGCAGCATGGGAGGTGGCGCGCAGCAGCATGGGAGGTGGCGCGCAGCAGCATGGGAGGTGGCGCGCAGCAGCATGGGAGGTGGCGCGCAGCAGCATGGGAGGTGGCGCGCAGCAGCATGGGAGGTGGCGCGCAGCAGCATGGGAGGTGGCGCGCAGCAGCATGGGAGGTGGCGCGCAGCAGCATGGGAGGTGGGGCGCAGCAGCATGGGAGGTGGCGCGCAGCAGCATGGGAGGTGGCGCGCAGCAGCATGGGAGGTGGCGCGCAGCAGCATGGGAGGTGGCGCGCAGCAGCATGGGAGGTGGCGCGCAGCAGCATGGGAGGTGGCGCGCAGCAGCATGGGAGGTGGCGCGCAGCAGCATGGGAGGTGGCGCGCAGCAGCATGGGAGGTGGCGCGCAGCAGCATGGGAGGTGGCGCGCAGCAGCATGGGAGGTGGCGCGCAGCAGCATGGGAGGTGGCGCGCAGCAGCATGGGAGGTGGCGCGCAGCAGCATGGGAGGTGGCGCGCAGCAGCATGGGAGGTGGCGCGCAGCAGCATGGGAGGTGGCGCGCAGCAGCATGGGAGGTGGGGCGCAGCAGCATGGGAGGTGGCGCGCAGCAGATGGGAGGTGGCGCGCAGCAGCATGGGAGGTGGGGCGCAGCAGCATGGGAGGTGGCGCGCAGCAGCATGGGAGGTGGCGCGCAGCAGCATGGGAGGTGGCGCGCAGCAGCATGGGAGGTGGCGCGCAGCAGCATGGGAGGTGGCGCGCAGCAGCATGGGAGGTGGCGCGCAGCAGCATGGGAGGTGGCGCGCAGCAGAGTGGAAGGCGAGGCTCACGAGGATGCCGGCGACAATGAAGGCTTCTTTGAGCGCGATGAGCGTGCCCCGTATGGCTGGTGGGCTGGTCTCCGCTATGTACATGGGCGCCGCATGCATGGCCTGGGGGGGGGCACGTGTGGAAATGCATGCATGCACACACACACTCACTCAGTCACACACGCACACGCACACACACACACATGCTGCAAGAGTGGTGGGCAGCTGATGAAGAGCAGTGAGAGGAACGAGAGCAGCAAGAGAAAGCCAGGCAGTTGGCGAAGGGGAAGAGGGAAGGGCGAGCAGGAGAAGAGAAGGCGAGAGGCAGGGGAGAAGGAAAAAATGGGCATGCGAGGCAGAGCAAGGCAAGGCGTGGCAGGGCAGGGCAAGGCGTGGCAGGGCAGGGCAGGGCAGGGCAGGGCGGGGCGGGGCAGGGCAGGGCAGGGCAGGGCGGGGCGGGGCAGGGCAGGGCAGGGCAGGGCAGGGCAGGGCAGGGCAGGGCAGGGCGGGGCACTGACAAGGCCGATGGCGGAGCCGTAGACGAGGCGACCAGCCAGCAGCGCAGGCAGGGAGGTGGCGGAGGCTGTGAGCAGCGCTCCTGTAAAGAAGAGCCCCGCCGCCAGCACCAGCTCCCTCCTCCGCCCTGCGTCGCACACGGTGGCGGTGGGCGTGGGGGGGGGAAGAGGGAGGGGGAGGGGGAGCAGCAGCAGGAGGAGGATTAAGAGAAAGAGGGGGGGGTGAGGTGAGGGCGAGGGAGGCAGTGGGACCTCGAAGACGGCAGGAAGAGAAGTGCGGGTGAGGGGGATGCGGCACGGAAAAGGGGTGTGAGGTGTAGAAGGGAGTAGGTGAGGGGAAGGGCTAGTGGAGGTGAGGGGAGGGGCTGATCGGAGTGTGGTTACCGAGAGGGGCTGGTGGGAGTGTGGTTACCGAGAGGGGCTGGTGGGAGTGTGGTTACCGAGAGGGGCTGGTTGGGGGTGTGGTTACCGAGAGGGTCGGCGATGCGGAAGGCGAGCAGGCAGCCCAGCAGCGCTCCTCCCAGCGACCCACTCACCTGGCGGAGTGTGATGTGAGGGGACGGTGAGGGGCGTGAAGGGGCGTGGATGGGAGGGCGTGGAAGGGCGAGGAGAGGCAGGCACACAATGAATGGAGGCAGAGAACAGCAAGGGCAAGAGCATAATTGCAGGTCGCTTGACGTGACGGCAGGCGGGGGCGTGGCGGCATGGCAGGGGCGTGACGAGCAGAGAGCCATGGGGTGAGAGAGGCGGTTGAGTGTGTGAATGCGTGATTGAGTGAGTGAGTGAGAGGGTCAGAGAGTGTGCACGTGAGTGAGTGAGTGAACGAGTGGGTGAGTGAGCAAGCGAGTGCGTGAGAGTGAGACAGGGCACGCACCACGAGGCCAACAGCCGTGGAGGAGAGGTCAAACCAGTCCGTGCCTGACAGCACTGGGTCCTGCCGCCCTCCGCCCCTCCCCATGCCACGCAGCAAAGGCAGGGCACATGGTAAAACAGATGAGGAACGCGGAAGGGGGAGAGGGGAGGGGGAAGAGGGAGGGGAAGAGCAGAGGGAGCAGGCAGGAGACAGGAGGATGAGGATGTGCGTTCCCACCACTGTGTTGTGTGCCTCTCCTCTCACCGCCTGTGCTGCACTGCACCCTCCACACGCTGCCACCCACACACGCGCACCTTGAGGGAGAGCAGAGCGCTGGAGGTGGCGCCGATGTCGTAGCCGAAGAGCACCCCGCCCAGCGCCGGGAAGAGGAAGCTGCAGCGGGGAGATGGGGTGGCGGGGAGGGAGGGAGGAACACGGTGGCACGGTGTTGCTGGATGGACAGGTGGAAGGGGGAGCACGGCGGAGAGCAGGACTAGAGGAATAGGAAGGACATGTGTGGCTGATGGAGTCGCAGGCAACTCACGGCAGGGCGGCAGCAGTCCACACGGCAGCGCTGGTGGGCGGGGTGCTCTCAGCTGCTGCAGGCGGCGGGCTGCTCCCCCCATTGGCTGCCAGCAGGGGTGACGTCAGCTGGGATGGGACCGCCATGGCGGGAAACGCGTCTTCTACGCCCTGTGGGAGATGGGGTCGCATGGAGAACGGGCAGTTGGACATGGCGTGCGCGGCGCGGACATGTGGGGTATGAGAGAGCATGAAATATGCATAATGCGGCGACGACGAGCGCGGTATGCGAGACCGCGGTCAATGGCGGCGACGGAGGCAGCGTGCAGGAGGGGGGAGAGCGTGGTCAGCAACTTTCTCGGTTGACTGCGCACACTCGATGGACGGCAATCCGACGGCACAGGACGCCAGAGAACAACGGGCGCGTGGCGCAAACGAATACTATTCAGCGCTTACGCACTTTGGCGGAGCGGCCGTCCTCGATGCCGCGCGCACTGGAATCCGCTGCCGACGCGCGCGGCATTACTCGCTGGCGGTGAGACGCGCGGCGGGAGTGACAGCTTGAATGCGACGGGACGAACGGACGCGGACGAAATGACACGTCAGACGATCGCAGTGGACTACCGAGAGGGCGCGAGGCGGAGACGGCAGAGAGAAAGCGCTGCGTGCTGTAGGCGGTGGCCATGGCTGTGCGGGGAGTGGAGCTTTACGGTTACGAGCCAGGCTCGCACCGCATTCCACGCGACTTGGCTGCCTACCACGTGAACAAGTGGCGCGCTGACGCTGCTTTGGTTTGGGTAGGATTGGAGGAAAACAACAGCCTCCTCAGCCAATGGTTGCGAATATCTACACCGAATACAGAAATACAGTTCATGGACTGTGTCTGTGATTTCCTCGTTAGTGTGGAACCCGGTTGTCCCAATGATATTCAAAAGAAGGCTGAAGCATTGCAGGTGCGCAAACGAAATCTTGCAGGAGATGCACTTGGAGTCGAGAAGCGAGGTTTTGTAATCTCAAGGTTCATTTCTTGGCGGGAACGCCTCTGACTGGTTCGAGGCCATTCTGACCATCTTCTCGCATCACCCTCTCTGGTCTGCTCCGCCTCTCAGCACTTGAATTCGTCATTTCTGAAGCAACTTCGAATTCTAGGCTCCTAGTCGCAGGCTCGATCAACGCTCGTGCTTTTCCCCGCGGTTATGGCGATAGGACGGCGCGTGTAACGTACCGCTTTGCCGCTGTTAGTCCGCCGTAGAAAGAAGTTTCCGGTTGTAGCGCGACGAGCGGCGAGCAGGGCGGGGCGCGAGGGCGCGCGGATGGCGTCGGGGGAGGGCGACGAGGTGGCGGGCGGGCGCGCGTGCTACTTCCATCGCGACCTCAAGCGCGGCAGCTACGGCGGTGACGTCAGCTGCCTGCAGGAGTACCTTCGCACTGAGGTGCGCCCTGCAGCCCTTACAGCCCGTAGAGATCATAGTGACCATAGAGACCGTGCAGACCATGGGGCATACTGATGCACCAAGGTGCGCATGCGGGCACGGAGGTGCGCGCATAGAACAGCGTTTGGTCATCGCGGCGAATCGGTTTCGTGCATGCGCTGATGCTCTGCGTCGCGTCTTACTCGTTTCTAACTCGCTTGTTTTCAGAGCCTGTACCAGGCCGTGTCGCTAAGAGCCTGTGGTCGTGTCCGACGTGGCAGGGATTCTTGTACGAGGAGCCGTCGGGGTACTTCGGCACGGCAACGGAGGAGGCCGTCATCAAGTGGCAGGTATGACGTCAGTAAACGGCAACTGTGAGGTCATCAAACGGTGCGCAGCAGTCCTTTCATCGCCACGTCCGCATATGGCTGTCTAGTCCCCTCCCACCCAGCGCTACGATCCTTCCCCCTTCACCTGCATTAGCTCTTGCCCCTCGTCTCCGCCTCTGCACTTTCCCCCCACAGACGAGCAACGCGCTGGTGCCGGCGCGCGGCATAGTGGGGTACTCGTCGCGCGTGGCGTACGCGCGGAAGCACGGGCTGCCCACCACGGAGCAGCTGCGCGCCATGGAGAAGGCCGCCGAGGTGCGCCGGCCTGCCATGCGCTGCTGTACCATGTCATGCCATGTCATGTTGTGCCGTGCTGTGCTGTGCCATGACGGTGCCTTTCCATGCCATGCCATGCTAATCGTGCCGTGCTTTTTCTGTGATCCATGATGCATATTTGTCCACTGTGCTTCAGGAAGTCGCTACCCCAGAACCATGCATCTGTCCTCTTTCCATTTGCCCCAAGTCATTATGCTATCCAGCCTAATTCTCACTGCGGCTCCCTCCCCTCCTCGTCCTTATGCCTGCGGCAATCCGTGTCCTCTCCACCCCCTCGTGTCCGACTCGATGACGCCCGCCCGTTGCCCGTTGCCCTGCGGGTGGAGCAGGGGTGTGAGGTGCGGCGGTGCATAGAGATCGATGCGCACAAGCGGAACGGCATGGAGCTCTGGGAGCGATGCCTAGCGTGCGTTCCTCACTCACCTCCCCTCCCCTTGCTCTCTCGTCCCCCCTCGCACCCCCTCCCTGCCTCCCCCCTCCTCTCGCTTTGCCCCTCTCCGCTGCTCCGCGTGTCCATCTGCGCACCACCCCTTGCCCCCCACGCCTGCTCTACTGCTTGCTTGCGTGCCTGCACCTGTGCTGCACGCTTCGCACTCCATTCCTCGCGCCGCCTGCTGCTGTGCTCTCTGCTTCAGGCGGACAAGAAGGCGGAGGTGATAGAGTTCTGTTGTGAGCTGGTGGGAAACCAGGAGATTTTCCGCACCAAGCGGTGCAAGTGCGTACTGCACTCTCACGCTCACCACTCTCACGCTCACCACTCTATCCGTGCCTCCGTTTCACATGCGCTTTGCTGGTCACTTTCTGCCGCTTGCTGTGTGTGTCTCGTCCTGCTTTCTCATCGTGCGAGCATTCAGCCTATTGTGGGACCGTGACATGTATGACCTCCTTGGTCCTCACCTTGCCCTGCTTGTCGCTGTGCCTGTTCCGCGGCTGGCAGGGAGGACGCATCCCTGGCTGATCGCATGCACCTCTGCAGCGAGGCGTGCCAAATGGCGGTCAGTGAGGCGTGTGACAAGGTGAGCTCATGGCGCTGCTGCCGTTTGCTTCTTATGGTGGATTGTGTCTTGTTTTGTAGTGAGATCAGGTTGCCTCTGGATAGTGACCCTGCCATTGGTTTGTTCTCTTTCAGGCCTTTCCAACGAGCCAAAACAGTGACTACAAGAAGTGCCTCAGCCTTATACCAAGAAATTGCCTCGACGCATGTCGCAATATTCTTAAATCGAAAGACAAATGACACACCTAACTACCTCCACTAGGTGTAGTTTAACCCATTATGTAGCGAGCTATTTTAGCATAGTCTCTCTAGTCTCCAAATGACATTTGCTTTCTTTTGTTGCGGTTATTGACAGTAGAAACTAAGTATTTCCAAATACGCTTTTTTCCCTCGTATATTGTATCGAAACGAGGCGGAGCCCCCGCCAGACGCATCAGGTCTTGCTGCACAGGGAGATATTTCCGTCCCCAGAATCCAGGAGCTCGCGGCTGTTGGCGTAGCAGACCGCGCCATCTGTCCGCTGCACTTTCCACGTCGAGCAGTTGCCAAATGGCAGCCCATATCCCTGCATCAACGGCTTGGTTTGCCGCTCTGACGACCGTCGTTGAGTCTTCGTCGAGTCGTCGCCAACTTGCGAAATCGTCGCGAACCGACCTTCCTTCCGCCTGTCCTCTCCCCGCCTTCCACCTTTTGCATCCTCGCAACTCTGCCTTCACTCTTCACTTGAGACGCATTCATCCATTCAGTTCAGAAGATCCATTCCCCAGGAGCTCCGCCGGCATCCCAGCACTTGCCCGGCTTGTGCTCTGGCGTCTCTGATCACCGTCCAGGGCAGTACTAAATCTAGTTTTAGGTGTTCATTCCGCTTGAAACTGATAGTAATAAAGGGTACTTGTTAGAGAGGATTTCAGCTGAACTTCTCTATAATAGGTTGCTAGGTCGTCGTCGCAATGGCATCAGCGGCGTATCATGCGTCATTAACAGCAAATGGCATTCGATGCGCCACTGACGGCGCAGTAAAGCTCTCGCAATCAAGGCGGTGCTCGTTTTCCGGCGCCAGGCGTATCGACGGTGGGCTCCCATGCCGTCGAGATCACGCCAGCCCGCGCGGAGTCGCCGTTCGAGCGTCGGTCGAAATGACCGAAGCGGAGAAAGAGGGTTGGCGGAAACGGCGGGTAGGCATCGCTTACTTAAGAAATATGTGCATACGTGTAGCCATCTCGTCTCTCTGAAAGTTTTTTACGATTGTCACCATTCTCATGCGTACAACTTCTTATAGTTCCTTGGAAGCTATCACTTCAGTGAACGAGAACTATCAATACCTTGTGCCGTTTTGACGGCGGTTATCCGTTGCATACGAAACCCCGCGTGTGTTAATCGCTAGTTCACGTCGTTGTTCGTCCGGGACTCCCCGCCGTGTGGTGCTCTGATGCCATCAGAACGAGGCAGCGGAGGAGGCGGCGCAGAAGGCGGAGAAGGAGGCGGAGGCGGCGGAGGCGGGCGCGGTGGACGAGTGGCGGTGGACGCTCAATTGGAACCACATCCTGCCCAACCTCATCGTCGGCTCCTGCCCTCGCTCGCCGGACGACGTTGTCAGTCCCTCTCCCTTCTTGGCCTCTTCTCACCGCTCTGCTGAGTGCTACCCTAACTGCTGGCATGACTGCCGCCTCTGCCGCTCTGCTCGTCGCCGCTGCTCGCAGCAACCGTGCCCCACGGCACCAGGCAGCGGTATCTTTGTTCATCTCCGTTCCAGCATGCGCTTGTCCCGCTCGCCCCTCTTTGTCCTTGTGTCCCCGCGTGTCTCCGCGTGCCTCCGTGTGCCCGTGCTCATCCCTCCGTGTGTCCCTCCGCATGCATCCGTTGCCCGGTTCATCTCTCCGCGGCCGGCAGGACCGCATAGCGGACGAGGCGGGGGCGACGGCGATCCTGAACCTGCAGTCCGACCTCTGCTTCGACGCGCTGCAGGTGCGTCACACACCCCCACACAGGTCAGTGCCGCCACCCCCACACACTCACTGCCAACCCCCCACGAGCTGGTACGTGCCGAGGTGATGCATGAGGTGATGCATTCAATCGAGCACCACACGCGGGAACGATAAGGATCATACGCTTTCAAAGGAATTCAGACGAAATCAACGCAAATGAGGAAGTACGAATTAGCTTTCCTTGGTTTCTAGGCGCAAGCAGAAACCGAGATTCGCGCCCTCAACCAACCTGTGAAGTTGCAACCCCTGCTCTCCTCTTCACTATGGCTCGTGTGGTGCTTGCCCCACTCACTCTTGTCCTGGCTGTTCTGCGTGCTGTGCTGCGTGTGCTGTGCTGTGTTATTGCGGTGCGGTGCGGTGCTGCTGGGTGATGCTGCATGGTGTGCGGTGGCTATGGGCACATCAGATTCCGTTTGAGAGCATTCGGGCGCGGGCGGTGGAGCGAGGGGTGCTGCTGGCGCGAGTGCCAATCAGAGACTTCGACCACGGCGACCAGGTGCCACCACACATACACCCCTGTCTCCCTCCTCCTCTCCACTGCTCTGCTCTCAGGCGTGCTCATGTCCCTTCCCATTCCTTCCCACCTTCCACTCCTCGTATTGCCGATCCAATCTCCACATTCCACTTCAAAATCTGGTCTCATTATTGCACCCCCTCCCCCTCCTCCACACACTCACCCCCTTGCTCTCCCTCCCTTCCCCCCTCCTCCCGCCCTCTCTTCCCTCCCCCCCGGCCTCTCCATGGCTCCACCCTCCTTTCGCCCCTGTGTGCTTGCCAGGCGTTCATGCTACCGGAGGCGGTGCGGGTGGTGAACGTGCTGCTGCACCGCGGGCACACGGTGTACGTGCACTGCACGGCGGGCATCAACCGCGCGTCGCTCACGTGCGTGGCGTACCTCTACTTCGTGCAGGGGCTGCGCCGCGACGAGGCTGTCACGCTCGTCAAGAATGCTCGCCCCATCGCGCACCCGTACCTGGACTGCCTGGCGGACGCCAAGCGGCGGCTGCTGGAGGGGCGGCAGGAGGAGATGACGGCGCTGGCCACTCAGATCTACGAGCAGCGCAACAACGGGGGGCACACCGGCTCCGCCACCTCTGATTGGTCCGCCGCCCAGGTGGGGGCGGAAGGGGACAGGAAGGAAGGGGAAGAGAGGGTGGGGAGGTGTTGTGGGCATGCCACGTGTTGCTCAGCATCTGCCGGCTGTGCTCTTCCCTCGTTGCAGACCTGTTGTCCCCACCAGCTGGTTCCCCTGCCCCCTTTTCTCATGCTCTCTCCACCCGTTATGCCCATCCTTGCGTTGCCCGCTCCATTGTGTTGCCCCTCCCGTGCCCGTCAGACGACTGCCATAGCAGCATCCTTCCGCAAGTTCCTCGAGGTCGACAATGTGAGTGCCGCCCTTCCCGCCCTCTCCTAGTGCCGTGCTGCCCGCCCTCTCCTAGTGCCGCCCTGCCCGCCCTCTCCTAGTGCCGTGCTGCCCACCCTCTCCTAGTGCCGCCCTGCCCACCCTCTCCTAGTGCCGTGCTGCCCGCCCTCTCCTAGTGCCGTGCTGCCCGCCCTCTCCTAGTGCCGTGCCGCCCGCCTCGCGCTCCCGGCTATTTCAAGGCTTGCTGTGGTGCATGCACCTCCCATCGCTCCCTGCATCCCCACCCAACACACACAAGCACACACACACCTGCTGGAGCACACCCAGGCACACACATACACCGTCACGCACGTGCGCATGCACATAGCGACAATGCACTGCAAGTTGTTGCTGCGCGCATGCCTGATGGTTTCCACAGCAAGCAAGCCAAACTGGACGATCCTCTGACGCCACCCTTGGCGCTCCCCTGCCCTGCCATCCCCCCACCTCCCAGGGCCTGCTGTCCATGGAGGACGACCTGGCAGCAGCGGCAGAGGCGAGGCGGCAGCAGCAGGAGGAGGAGAGCGACGACGAGCGCGGCGAGGCCGTGGCAGCGGAGATTGAGCGGCTGACAGGGGAGCTGCGGCAGCAGCGGGAGGAGATCCAGCAGCTGCAGGCGGCGGCGCGGCAGTGGAAGCTGCAGAAGGAGCAGGCGGAGGGCATGGTGCAGCTGCTGCAGCAGGAGCTGGCCATGAAAGACGCTGCCGCTGCTGCTGCCGCCGCGGCTGGCGCTGCAGCAGGAGGGGGAGCTAGCAGCTTGAAGGTGGCAGGGAGCACCACCAATGGAGTTGCTGTGGTAGCGAGTGTGGAAGGGGCCAATGGTGTTGCCAATTCAAAGCCCGTGGGATCTGCAAAGTCTGCAAGTGGCCCACCAGAGTCACTCAAGGTTGCTGAGGATCTGGTGTGAATACAAGCACTAGTTTATTATTGCATTGTTTCCTAACAAAGTGTCATTGAGTGCCTAGGATCAAGGGGGGTCGTTCTGTTGTGTAATAGTACGTACGTGCACCAGCTGGAAAGAATACTCCATTCCTGGAAAATGCATGTGTTGGCGGCTCAATGTTTTCTGAGTTGGAATGAGGAGTCGATACGATGTATAAGCAAAGATATAACATGTTATTGCCCAGTGTGTGCTGACCAATGATAGTCTTTATTTGTAATGTAAACTTAGCATTTCCCCTGGACTGCAAAGCTTCTTCCTGCTCCATCACCTCCTTGTTTCTCGGGATTCCTGAAACTAACCTACTGCTGAAAGTTGTCCCTATGTGTGGAAGCGTGGCTGGTGTGGCTGTTCTAAGCTGGCAGAGAACTCATCCACATGGTCTGGATCTGATTTGTTGCGATCAGTGCCGACCGCTAAATCGAAGCTTGCACATTCTCGCAGTGGACTTTTGGCGATTGGGAGCAAACGCGACAAAACAAATCAATTTCGGTTCGGTGGATGAGAGCAATGGCTGGCTGCAGCCAAATGGGCCTGGACGAAGTGTGACACGGAGCCTTCCGGTTCGCTAGTGCATATGCTTTGGTGCAGAGAGGGGCAATTTGCTCGGCGGGCGGGCCGCCCCTTTCCCACACAGCGGCAACTCCAAGGTGTTGCGGAAAGTTTATGCGCTCGTGGTCGCGGACTTGCGGAGCGGAAAGGAGCCTCTCCTTCCCCAGCATTGTGCTCATACTGAATCATAGGAAAGGAGCCTTTCCTTCCCCAGCATTGTGCTCCATCAATTCCCCCCATCCATCACCATCTTCCCAAAACACCCGTTTCCGGGAAGCATTGGAACAGTGTTACCCTTCTCCGTGACCGCTGCTATCCAAGCCCTTCCAATCCCATCCACAACCCCACCAGCAACTAGCCATCTTGTTCCATGCACTGCTTTTCCTGCCCGGGTCAGAGCGGGAATCCAGTTATTGGGAGACCTCCTCCTGCCCTGCATTGCATGTGACGGATTTTCTCACCATCTCTTCTCCCCACCACCCACCAGACTGTTGCAATCATAAAGTTTGTAACGGAGAGTTACAGTGCGATTGGCTAGAGCTTCAAGAAGGTGGAAATGGTTCAATTACGGTGGAATGACATAACCTGCAGACGTTCCATCTTCCTCGCCGTGAGGCCCTCTCACTCTTCTCCCTCTCCCTCCTACCCAACCTGCTTCTGTTCAGTGTTCTGTTCCACGACCCTAGGGATCTGACCAAACTTGTGAAACCCTAGTTGTCACTTTTGTGAGCTTCGTTCCTTTGTCACAACGAATTCCTGGCCTGAGCTGCCAAAAAAAAAATCACCTTTCTCGTTGCGCGTAGTTCTCTCGCGGTAAGTGCGCTCCGTCGATGCGTCGACATGGAGTACTGACACTTTTTCCTGCTACATCGGGGCGATAAGCTTATGTAAAAAGGAAATCTGTATCTTAGAATTCTCTTCAGACACCCCCATCCGCGAATATGACGTCGAGTCAGGTGTCAGCAGCGTTTGCAGCGGCGCGCACGTCGAAGGTGACAACGATAGTGTGGTTCCGCCGCGACCTGCGCGTCGAGGACAACCCCGCTCTCATCGCGGCGGCGCAGCAGGGCGCGGTGGTGCCGCTCTTCGTGTGGTCCCCGGAGGAGGAGGGACAGTTCTTCCCCGGCCGCGTGTCGCGCTGGTGGCTGCGCAACTCGCTCTCGCAGCTGCACGCCGCGCTCACGGCTCTGGGCGTGCCGCTGTTCATGCGGCGCGCCAAGTCGACCCTGGCGGTGCTGCTGGAAGTCATGGCGGCCACCGGCGCCACGCAGGTCTTCTACAACCACCTCTACGGTGCGCTGCCCTCCGCCCATCGCCCCTCCCTGTTTCCGTGCATGGGCTTCTCAAATCTGGCCCTTTCCTTCTCGTCCCTCCATTGTATGCCGCCCGTGTCGATGACCCGTCGACCACCGACCTTACAGATCCCTCATGCTACTCCCTCACTCCCTCCCTCCCTCTTGCCCTCCCCCTCTCCCCATCCCGCCCCCACTCCCCCATCTCCGCGCAGACCCCGCGTCGTTGGTGCGCGACCACCGCGTGAAGCAGGAGCTGAGTCGGCGCGGAGTGGTGGTGCGCTCGTTCAACGCGGATCTGCTCTTCGAGCCCTGGGAGATCTTCGACGACCACGGCAAGGCCTTCACCACCTTCCGCTCCTTCTGGCGCCACTGCCTGCACCACCCGCGCCCCTCGCGCCCCGACCCGCCGCTCCCCGCGCCCGCGCGCCTGTGCGGGCCGCTGGGGTTCGTGCGGAGCGTGGCGGTGGACCTGCTGGGGCTCGAGGCGGACGACGAGCGCCCCAGCAACGACCTGCTCGCGCGCGCCTGGCTGCCCGGCTGCACCAACGCGGACCGCGCGCTCGTCGCGTTCCTGCACGGGCCGCTGCTCGAGTACGCCGCGAACCGCAGCAAGGCGGACAGCGCGACGACGTCGCTGCTCTCCCCGCACCTGCACTTCGGCGAGATCTCCGCGCGCCGCATCTTCCACGAGTGCCAGCGCCTCAGCGTCGCGTGGCAGAAGGACGGCCTTCCGCGCGCGGCGGAGAGCGTCGCGCAGTTCGTGCGCGCGCTGGGCTTCCGCGAGTACTCGCGCTACCTCTCCTTCAACTTCCCCTTCACGCACGAGCGCTCGCTCCTCGCGAACCTCAAGCACTTCCCGTGGCGCGTGGACGAGCACATGTTCAAGCTATGGCGGCAGGGGCGCACGGGGTACCCGCTCGTCGACGCGGGGATGCGCGAGCTGTGGGCGACGGGGTGGCTGCACAACCGCATCCGCGTGGTGGTGGCGTCGTTCTGCGTGAAGTTCCTGCAGCTGCCGTGGCGGTGGGGCATGAAGTACTTCTGGGACACGCTGCTCGACGCCGATCTCGAGGCCGACGTGCTGGGCTGGCAGTACATCAGCGGCTCGCTGCCCGACGGCCACGAGCTGGATCGCATGGATGATCCCGAGGAGGACGGGTATCGTTTTGACCCCGAGGGGGAATACGTGCGGAGATGGGTGCCGGAACTCGCGCGTGTGCCGACGGATTGGATCCACCACCCGTGGGACGCGCCGCCCGTCGTGCTGCGCATGGCGGGGGTGGAGCTCGGCGCGAATTACCCGCGGCCGGTGCTTGATGTGCTGACGGCGCGGCAGCGGCTGCAGGAGGCGGTGGATACGATGTGGCAGCGCGAGGCGGCGCTGAAGGCGGCGGCCGCCAACGGGTGCGATGAGGGGCTGGGCGACACGGAGGAGGTGCTCGTCGCGTTCTCGCGCGCGCCCGACCACCGCCTGCCCATGCGCGTGCACACCGCGCTCGTGCGCCCCGAGCTCAGCTGCGCCAACGGCGCCTCCGCCCCCGCCGCGTCGCACAGCACGCTGGTGGCCAGCGCGAGGGGCGGCGGAGGGGGGTTGGCGCGCTCCGCGTCGTGCGACTCCGCCGCCGCCAGTGGGGTCGGGCCGTGGCGCGGGCCTGCGGATAACGGGGAGGGGGAGGCGCAGGGGGGGCGCGCGGGCGGGGAGGAACTCCCCCTGGCTGTTCAGATGGAGGCGGCAGCGGCGGCGGTGATGGCGGCGGACAGGGCGGGGAAGGCGGCGCGAGGACCGGCGGAGGGGGAGTGCGGGGAGGCGAAAAAGCAAGTCGCGGATGGAGAACCGGCGGAACTGGCGGCGGGGAGAGCGGACGGCGCGGACGGGGGGGCCGGTGCGGGCGGGGTTGCGCCGGGCGTGGTCCCGTGGAACGACCAGATGGTGCCGTACTTCCCTTCCCCCGCCACCATCCAGGCGGCGGAAGCCATTCTCGCGGGGGACGCCGCCGCCGCCGCGCACGCCATGCAGGCGGAAGGCGTGCAGCCGCCGTTCCCCAAGGACGCGCCGGCGGAAGAGAAGGGCACTCGCCCCCCTGCGCCGGGGGCGCCGGAGCAGCCGGCTGCGGGGAAGGGGAACGTGGCGGGCGGGGCGACGTCGGCGCTGCCGCGCTGGGCGGCAGTTCTGGGCGGGCAGGGCGGGGCAGCCGGGCACGGGACGGTGGAAGGGCTGTCCCCGTCCGCGCGCGTGTCCAGTCTGGTGGAACTGCAGCTGTTCCCCTCTGCCCCGCGCCCTGCCCCCGCCGATGGGGCGCGTGCGCCGAAGGGGAAAGTGGCGGAAGGATCGAAGAAGGACGGTGGGGGGACGCCGGGGAAGGAAGGCGGGGGAGTGCTGGGGAAACGCGGGTTCAGTAACGTGTGGGGAGATGACACGCCGTTCCCATCTACCATGTTCCGAAGAGTGAAAGATGAAACGCCGTTCGTACCCGTACTGGTGCAACAGCAACTACGGCAGTACCAGCAACAACAGCAGCAGCGGCAGGCGCAAGAGGGGCAGGAGCAGCACCTGGCGGCGATGAGGGCGGGTGTGACGGCCGAGGTGGGGCAAAAGCTGATGGCGCTGCAGCAGCAGCAGCAGCGGCTGGCGGCGGGCAATGCCACGAATGCGCGCGACCGCTGCAATGCGCCCAACGACCCCGCCGGTGCAACTAGGGCGGCGCCAGGCGCAGCAGTCGCGGATGCAGCTGCGCCAGGCGCGGCGGAGCAGCAGAGGGGCGGGGCGGGCAGGGAGGCGGGCGGGGCGAGGGGCGGGGCGGGGGCGCTGTACGCGGGGCCGACAGGGCGCGTGGCGCTGACAGGCCTGCCGTTCCGCGTGAGCGCCATGGCAGAGGCGGGCGCCACCAGCACTGGCGGCGCTGGCGGGGACGGCAGAATACCTCACGCCCACACGCACGCCCACGCACAGGGACAGGCACAGGCGCATGTGCAGGCGCATGCACAAGCGCAGGCGCAGGCAGAGGTGGAGGCACAGGCGCAGGCGGAGATAGAGGCGCAGATAGAGGCACAGCTGGGCGGACATGCTGCTGCAGCAGCTGCCGCAGCAGCGGCAGCGGGCCGGGCGCAGCAGCGGGGGCTGCGGTCGCCACAACGGAGCAAGCCCGAGCGGCTCTCCAGTGAGGTCAGTTGGCCTCCCAGCGCCATGCTCTGCGACCTGCTTCTCAGCCCACACCATCTCTACTCCTCCCTGCTCCATGCCCCTGTTCTGAGGCGCCAAGTCTGCTCCTTGTTCTCCTTGCTTTTCCCCCCGGCCCTTCCTCTCCTGCTTATCCTGCCCCCAGCTGTTTCTAACAAGCCCTCTCCACTCTCTCCTCTTCCTCTCTCCCCTCTGCAGGATGCGGCAGCAGCAGCCATGGGCAAGAAGGGGTGGGGCCCGCTCACCTTCCTCTCCCTCGTGTCGCCACACCTACCGCACCACCAGCACCACCCAGCAGACCCCCACGCCCTGCCCACCTTTCCCCCGGCCGCTGCTCCGCAAGAAGGGGTGGTGCCCAGGCAGCACATCCGCCTCTTCCCCTCCTGATGCCATGCCACCCCACACCAGCTGCCTTTTGCGTTGCTGATTTGTTGCTGTGTAAACAGCATTTTTATGCACGATTCTTTCCTGTTACATGGTGTATACATGTCCTAGTTTGAACTGATGGTGATGGCATGACAATTTGCCTGAACACCATTCTCGCTATAAGCAGCATAGATGCATGTTGCATTTGTTTGCACACTTTCTATTCAGAATTCCCTACTATGAAAGTAAAATTTGGTGCACACTACGCGATTGCAATTAAATTTTGATAAACTGAACAGTTACATACGGTATGAGTATTGAAAGTGCAAATTGGAGGTTAAGTAGGTAAGGTGGCAAAAGGCCAAATTAGCATAGCTACCGTAGCCAAGAAGAGAATCCTACCGTAGTTGAGTGCTACGGCTCATCACAGCACACCTCAAGGATGCACCATGCCATGCCATGCATGCACATCAACCAACCATATCACCCAGCACACCATGAATGCTCCTGGAATAACGGTACCAGGATTAGGCTCTAGATAACCGAAAATTCAATTAAACTAGCTGCCGTGAACCGTGGCACTGAGAGGCAGAGCAAGGAGGGGCTGAGGTTAGTGGGCTGGGGGTGGTGCACCTGGGACAAGCAGCCATGTGCACACGGCGCAGGGGCAGCATGACAGGCCCCCCGACACGGCAACAGGCAGCGAGCAGCAGGCAGCAGGCAGTGAGCAGAAGCAGCGGAAGAAGAGAGAGCTGAGTCCAGAGGAGAGGAGTGTGGCTGGAGGGAGCAGAGCTGGTAGCGAGCAGCAGCGTTCCCGGCACAGGTTACAGCAGGGGCTTCCCACAGTCGTCACGAGCAGAGAACTGGTTAGGAACGGGGGTAGGGGTGTGCAGAGCAGAGCAGAGGGCGCCACACAGCGCATGGCTTCCCTTCCCCATGCCTCACGCGGTGCTGTCAGCCCCCTGTGCTGCACGCCCCTCCCCCTCGGGCTGCGACACGATGGCCTGCACCTTGCTCAGCAGGCTGAACATGCTCTGCTTTATGTCCGGCACCGCCCCCGCCCCTCCCACCCCACCACTCCCTTCCCCAGCCCCGGCTCCTCCAGCAGCAACCATGGCAGCAGCAGCGCCGTCAGTGGCAGCAGCAGGGGCAGAGAAGGCGGTGGGCAGCGGGGCAGGGGTAGAAGGGAGGGAGGGTGGTGCAGCAGGGGTGTGAGCGGGAGGGGGTGCAGATGGCTCCACAGGGGGTGTGGGGAGGGCGTCCTGTGCGTCCCACCAATCGCCACCTCCTGCTCCCCCATCCGCTCCTCCTCCATCCCCCCCTCCCCCTGCCCCTGCTGCAAACCCAGGAGGCAACCCCTCCCTGCCTTGCTGTCCCGCCATTCCCCCCCCGCCAGCAGCAGCGCCAGGAGAAGTGGCGGCGGCGGCGGGGGCATGGGACTGTCGGCGGGGGTCCTTGGAGAGCGCGAGGGCGGAGCGCGGCAGCAGCGAGCGCGTGGACGGGCCCAGCGTGGTGGGCGTGCCCATCCAGGCCGCACTGCCCGGCCTCTGCGCCGCCTGCGCTGGATTCGCCTGGGGGGAGGGGACGGAGAGGGCGGGGGGAAAGATGCGAGTGGGGAGAAGATAAGGAGGAGAGGAGAAGTGCAGAGAGGGGCGAGGCAGAGGTGGAGGTGGGAAGCAGAGGGTGGAATGAATTAGTTGCTGGCAGGAGGGAGACGAGGGGGAAAGTCCGGTGAGAGGCAACGGGTGGGGCGCGAGGAGAGAGAGAAAAGGAGTAAAGAAATATATCTGAAGGATAGCAACAGACACGGGTGTGCCCGGGTGACGGCAATTAGACGGTGATGGAAGCGACAGCACGCATTGGCAGCACGCATTGGCATTGGCATTGGCATTGGCACGCACCAGGCTGTGGCGCTGTGAGGGTGTGAGGCGGCCAGCAGCGGCGGCGGGCACGAGGGCAGCACCGGCCGGGGGAGGGGCGAGGGCGCGCGGGGGAGTGGGGGCGGGGGAGGCCGCGGGGGGAAGGCGCGCAGGGGGGGTGCGGGCGGAGGGAGGGGGGCCGTGGGCGGAGGGTGGGGGGGTGTGGGCGGAGGGATATGTGGGCCTGATGGGGACTGCAGAGTCAATCTGGTGGCAGGAGAGAAGGGGAGCGGGAGAAGAGGGGGCAGGGGAGGGGAGCAGGGGGCGAGAAGAGAGATGAGAGAGGAGACGAAGGTGAAGAGGAGAGGTGACGAGGTGGTTGAAAGGGGGAGAGCGAGGGAAGGTGCATGTGGAGAGGCAGAGGGCGAAATGCAGAGAGCAGCGACAAGGACGACCACTGAGAAAAAAACATTGGAAGAGGGAATGGCACGCCAGCAGCATGGCACAGCGTTGAGCGGAGACGAGAGGGGAGCGGAGGAAAGGAAGAGCGAGAGTAAGCAACGGGGGGGGGCACCGACGGAGGCGGTGTAGGGGCGCAGGCGGAACTGCACGTCCCAGGAGCCGAAGAGCGAGGAGCCGTGCATGGCCTCGTGCATCGCTGTTGTCGCTGACGACGGGTCCTCGAATACCACCTGTGTGCATGGCGGGCGCAGGGGAGGGGGAGGGGAGAGCAGGGTGCAAAAAAACTACGTTTTTTTCAAAATTTGATCGTAAAATACTGTATCGTAAGAAACGATCGTAAAATACAATAAATTTCGATTTTTAGAAATTAACTGATTTGGGTGGAAAAAAACCATCGTTTTTTTCAGAAAAGGGTACAAAACTGCTGCTGTAACAGGGGGATTGTTTTGTGAGTAGAATGAGGGGGCTGTTAGAAGTATTGCTGATGCACTAGGAGATGGTTAAAAGTGTTTTTTGGGTCACAACAGCATTTTTTTTTATCGAGGCGCTTTTTTTTGTCTAACATAAAAACGACGTTTTTTTTCCCAAAAGGTACCGTAAAGAACAATCGAAAAATACAATTGTATTTTTCGACAATCGTTTTTTTCCACCTTGGGGGAGAGGGGAGAGGGGATGGGGGACGGGCAGGGGAGAGGGGAGGGGGGCATGGCTGCTGTGGCTGACGACGGGTCCTCGAATACCACCTGCCGCATGGCGGGTGGAGGGGAGGGGGAGGGTTGGGAAGATGGCGTTTGAGGCACCTGATGCATGGTGTGGCTCATGATGGGTCCTCCACACAGCCTGTGCGCATGGGACTAGGAAAGGGGTGGGCCACGGGCAGGGGCATGGTTGCGTGGGAGCGAAGGGGTGTGGGGGTGCGCGGCACATGGCATGACATGAAGAGAGTGCGTGTGACATTGTCATTGACATTGGTGACAACAACCTAACTCCCCCAAGTCTCCTCCTCACCTCAGCAACGCCCCTCTCTTGGCTCACCTCTCCCTCTCCCTCTCAACACACCTCAGCGACGCCCTGGTATTTGATGAGCTTGGCGCCCAGCAGCGCTCCGAAGCGCGCGAAGGTGGCGCGCAGCTGCGCCACTGAGGGCGCCGGCATGAGCTTCGGGAACCGCATGCACAGCACCTGCTGGCCCCCGCCCCCCTGCCCCTGCCCCTGTTGCCCGCCCCCCTGCTGCTGCTGCTGCTGCTGCCCGCTCTGCTGCCCGCCCTGTTGCCAGCCCTGTTGCCAACCCAGCTGACCCTGCCCCTGCTGCTGCTGGGCATGGGAGTGGGGCTTTAGAAGTGGGAGTGAGAGACGGGAGAGAGAGAGAGGAGGGGGGTGAGAGAGGGATGTAAGGGAATGCATGATTCGAGGATGAGAAACACCACGATGCTGTATTGAACCGACTCTGCTGCTTCGTCTCCATCCACGCCACACTACACCACCACACCATCCTGCACCACACCATCCCACACCACACCATCCTGAACCACACCGCACTATGCCACGCTGTTACACCACGCAACAGCATGCCACACCATGCCATGCCACACGCCACATCATGCAACACCAATTCAGCGCGCCACAGACAGAGCACAACACGCACCTGCTGCCATCCTGGTGGGACTGACGTGGCATCTTGTGTTGTCAGCGCAAGCGCATGGGGGGGCGATTCTGGAGAGAAGGGCAGGGGCAGAGGAAGGGGGGGAACAGGGAGGGAGCGGGGGTAGAGGTGCCATGTGCCGTGTGCCGTGTGCCGTGTGGCGTGTGGCGTGTGGCGAGCTACCAGGCGGGACAAGCTCACGCGGGGGCAAGGCGGAAGAGAGAGGCAATGCAAGGCAGGCCAGGGCAGAGAGCACACAGGCGTGTGTGCAGTCAGCTCAACACACACACTAAGAGCTGTGCGCCTCATCAACACACACACACACACACACACACACACACACACACACACACACACACACACACACACACACACACGGACGCCCACCCGGCACCCCCTCCACCATCCCCTTTCCTTATTTGCACTCACCATCAGCGCCTGCCCCGCCGCGTGCCTCCCTCTTAGCAGCGGCCAGCTGCTGCAGCGACCGCCGCCGGCCCTCTGGGCTCAGAGCGTCCCCCTCCACACGCGCCGGCACCCCCACCTTGCGCTGCCGCAACGCCCTCTCCTGCCCCGCCTCCCCCACGTCACGCTGCCTCCCCTCCTCCCACTCACCCCCCTCCGCCACTCCGCCCTCCGCCCCTCCTCCCTCGCCTCCTCGCCCCCTGCCCCTGCCCCTGCCTCTCCCCCTTCCCCTCCCCCTCCCCCTCCCCCTCCCAGTTGAACTCAACCCCTCTCTCCCCCCTGCCTCCCCTCCTGCCTCTCCTCTGCCCCGCCCGCCCCTCCCTCCTCTCGACCCCCGCCCGCGCCCACGGCCACGCCCCCTGCCCCGCGCTGCCACAGGCCTCTCCTCATCGCTGCGCCCGTCCTCGTCCTCGTCGCCCTCGCCCCCCTCGCTCTCACTGCCAGGGCGGGCGTCCACCAGCCGCTGCTGCCGCCGCGCCTTCACCTCCGCCTTGGTCCGCCCCCGAGGCCGCACCGCCCCTCCCGCCCCCTCCTCCCCTGCTGCCCCTGCTGCTGCAGCTGCCTTGCGTGGTGGTGCCGCTGGTGGGGGTGGGCGCGGCACCGGCTCTTCCTCCTCCGCCTCCTCCTCCCACCTGTCCTCCTCCTCCACCTCGCCTGTTATCACTCCCTCTCCCTCCTCCTCCTTTTCCTTCTCCTCCACCCCCTTCTCCCTCACCTGCTCGCCTTGCTTCTTCTCCCTCTCACTCATCTCCTCCTCCTTCGCCCCTTCACCCTCACGCTCCTTCTCCCCACTTACCCCTTCCTTTCCAACCTTCTCCTCCTCCTCACCCGCATCCTTCTCCTCTTTGCCTGCCTCCGCCTGCCCTCCCTCCACCATCGGAGCAGCACCTTCACCACCAGCCACCTCTTCCTTCGCCTTTTCCTCCTCCTTCCCCTTCTCCTCCTCCTCGCCCCCAGCGCCACCCACAGCACCCTCGCCAGGCGTCTTCTCCTCCGCAGCCTTCCCTTCTGCCTCCACCCTCGCGCCTCCCTCCGCGCCCACCTCTCTCTGCGCCTCTTCCACCGCTGCACTCTTTTCACCCGCCGCCTCCGGGCCTGCCTTGCCTGCCGGGGCCTTCTTTGCCTCGCCTGCCGGGCGGACAGAGGGCGCGCAGAACAGAAGCATAGCATTGACCGCAAGGTAAGGAGAGGAGCGCACAGTCATGAGCAACGGGGTGGTGGGTGGAGGGAGCGAGCGACCAACGAAAGAGGAAGGGGGTAGAGGAGAAAGGAAACACGGACCCTTGCTGGCAGCAGCAGCAGCTGCAGCCGGTGCTGGTTTGTGCGAGCGGGCGAACCAGAAGGTGTGCTGGCGCCATGCTGCCACGGGCTTCAGTGTCTCGCTCAGATCCGCCCTGTGGCACACGGGTGGTGGGTGGAGGCACAGGCAGGACATGGAAGGAGAGACATGTGAGTGTTGACGTCCCTCCATGCATGTATTGCTGACGTGCACATGCTGCATTGCCCCCACTTCCATCCCCCCTCCCCCACTCACATGCCCCTTCCCACTCACAACCCCCTCTATCCCCTCCCCACGCACAGGTCCAGGGGGCTCCTAGCAAGGCGCAGCAGGTCGTCACGTGCGGTTTCAGCGGCGGCCTTGATGCCCAGCCGCTGCATCTCCACCGCCCACTTGTGCGCATTGCTCGGCCGCCCCTTGCCACGCCCCCCTGCCCCACCACCCGCCCCCGCCCCCGCCCCCGCCCCCGCCCCCCCAGGCGACTGCACGGGTGAGTGCAGCGGCGAGTGCACCGGGGACTTGCCCTCATTCCCCTGCTCCTCCGCCCCTTCCGCCCCCTCCTTCGCCTCTCCCTCCCCCTCTTTCTTCCCTGCCGCCACTCCTGCCCCCACCCTCTCCTCCTCCCCCCCTGCTCCCTCGTCCGCGGCTCCCTCCTCCCCTGCAGCCCCCTCCGCGCCCTCCTCCTCGTCCACCACGCGCTTCTTCCTCCTCCGCCGCTTCCCCTCCTCCCCCTCCCTCTCCTCGCCAGCTCCCCCCTCCGACTTGCGCCTTCTCATCTTCTTCTTCCTCCGCTTCAGACCCTCTTCCTCCCCCGCCTCCTCCTCTTGCTCCTCCTCCTTCTCCTCCTCCTCTTGCTCCTCTTCCTCCTCGTCCTCCTCGTGCTTTCTCTTCCTCCCACGCCTCTTTCCGCCCTTCTCCCTCTGCTTGCCCTTTCGCCCCTTCTTCCTCCTCCCCTCTTCCTCGTCCTCCTCCTCTTCCTCCTCACCCATTTCAACTTCCTCATCATCCTCCTCCCACTTCCGCCCTCGCTTCTTCTTCTCTTTCACCACCACCACCTCCTCTTCCTCCTCCTCTTCCTCTACCTTCTCCTCCTCGTGCTCCTCCTCTTTCTCCTCCTCCTCTTCCTCCTCCACATGAGCCCTCCGCTTCCCCCCTTTCTCTCCGCCCTTCTTCTTCCCCTCCGCCCCAGCGCCCGCGCCCCCCTCCCCATCGGGCACCACCAGCCGCCCCTCCACCAGAAACAGCTCCCCCAGGTCGGGCCTGCGCGCGCCCTGCTCCCCGCGCCCCACCTGCGCCTTCTCCCCGCCCCCTTCCATGAACCGCTGCCGCAGCACTGCCGCCAGCAGTGCATCGCGGTGCCTGTGGGGGGGATTGAGGGAGTGGAGGAAAAAGGGGAAAGGGAAGGGGGGTAGGGAGGGGGGAGGGGGAGAAACAGGAGCAAGCAGTGGGAGGGGAAGGTGTGGAGAGAGAAGTTGGGGGGTGGGGGAGTCTCGAGCCACTGGTTGGGGGAAAGGGAGAAAAGGGGCGAAGTGCAGTGCAGAGAGGAGGGACTGAGAAAGGCACAGAGGGTTGCAGACTAGGTGGGCGGGTGCAAGGTGTGTGTGGCGATGTGGGTGCATGTGGCGAGGAGGGTGCATGTGGCGAGGAGGGTGCATGTGGCGAGGAGGGTGCATGTGGCGAGGCGGGTGCATGTGGCGAGGAGGGTGCATGTGGCGAGGCGGGTGCATGTGGCGAGGCGGGTGCATGTGGCGAGGCGGGTGCATGTGGCGAGGCGGGTGCATGTGGCGAGGCGGGTGCATGTGGCGAGGCGGGTGCATGTGGCGAGGCGAGTGCATGTGGCGAGGCGGGTGCATGTGGCGAGGCGGGTGCATGTGGCGAGGCGGGTGCATGTGGCGATGTGCAGACGAGTGCAACTCACCCGCCGATGGGATTGCGGGCCGTGGCTCGCAGGTAGGATAGCATGACGGCTGGTGGGGGGCACGAGGGAGGAGAGAACGCGAGGGGTGGAGAGGAAAGAGAGGAGAGGTGAGGAGGCGAGGAGAGGAGTGAGGAGGCGAACGGAGAGAGAGAGGTGGAAAACGGAGAGCAGGCAGGGCAAGAAGAGAGGAGAAACAACACGCAGTTTGCAATAAGTCCATAGTCACGGCAGGGCAAGGCCCCAAAGCAGAGAGCAGACTGGCGCATAACAGGATTGGCAGCAAAAGTAACACCTACTAACTAAGGGATACAGGGTAGGGCGTACTGGGGTTGACGCGGCGGTGCTGTGCGGCGAGCGTGGCGGGCCTGGCGCCGTGCAGCAGCCCCTGGCCACCTGCTCGTCCAGCTCCACCAGCGCCTCTGCCACGGCCTAAGTAAGAGCTACTGTTAGTAACGGCAGACTAGCACGTACTGGGGTTGACGCGGCGGTGCTGTGCAGCAAGGGTGGAGGGCGGGGCGCCGTGCAGCAGCCCCTTGGCGACCTGGTCGTCCAGCTCCACGAGGGCCTCCGCCACGGCCTGGCAGAAGAGCTTCATGGGCGTCTGCTGCGACTTGTCCCAGTAGTGCTCCGCGAATGGCAGCAGATCCATGGGGCGCAACCAGTTGCTGTTGTGCAGGGAAGGGGGGTGGAAACGGGGAGGTTGGGAAGGAAGAGGGTTGGGAGGAGGGGCGGATATAAGGCGAGGGGGGAATAGCAATAGTGCTGCCTGCCGTGTGGTTCCCTCAGGCTGCTCTGTCCGCTCGCCCTCTGCGTCAACCAGACGCCCCAAGAGCACAGCCAGCAGCACACACGCATGCAGCAGTGGTGATTGCAAGAATGATTGGTGATTACGACAGCACCCAGGGACCCACAAGGCGGGCGGGCAGCAGGGCACTCACAAAGCGGCAGGGCACTCACAAGGCGGGCGGCAGGGGGCTCAGAAGGCGCGCGGGCGAGCAGGGCGAGGGCACTCACAAGGTCTGGTCGCCGTAGAAGCCGATGAGCAGGTGCCCCGAGCGGTGCTGCGCGCGCGCGCGCGGGGTGGCCTCGGAGGGGGAGAGAACGCGCGCAGGCCACCAGGGGTGCGAGCGCACCTTGGCCCACACCAGCTCGTGCACCACTGGCGCCCACTCCCCCTCGTCCTCGCTCCCCCCGCTCTCCTCCTCCCCCGCGCGCGCCCTGCCAGCCGCGGGGGTGGCGGGAGAAGGGGGGGCTTTGGCGGAGGCCTTGGCGGGCGTGCCGTGGGGGCGGAGATGGGGGGACGCGCTCTTTGCTGCCTTGCGCTGGTCGCTGCCGTCCGCGCCCTGCCCGGGCCTGTCCTCCCGCTGCTTCCGCCGCACCTCCTCCTTTCCCCCCTTGCTCTTCTTCCCCTCTTTCGGCCCCTTTTCCTCGTCCTCTTCCTTTTCGCCCTTCCCCTCCTTCGCGTCCTTCCCCGCTTTCCCCTCTTTTCCCTTCTCTTCCTTCTCCGCCTCCCCCTCCTCTTCCTTTTCCCCCTCCCCCTCCACTTCCTCCTCTTCCTTCTCCGCCTCCCCCTCCTTCGCTTCGGTCCCCTCAGTCCCCTCCTCCTCGTCCTTCCCCTCTTCCTCCTCCTCCGCGCTCCCCTTCTCCGCCTCGTCGCGGGCCTTCTCACCCGCATCAGTCGCGGACGCCGTTCCCCCTTCTGCTGCCACTTCTCCGCCTGCCGCTTCCATCCCTTCCGCCTCCACTCCTTCCGCCGCACCCCCTTCCGCCTCTCCTTCCGCTTTCGCTTCCTCTTCTGCTTTCTCTTCTATCTTCTCTTCCGTTCTCTCGTCCGCTTTCCCCTCCTCTTTCTCTTCCGCCTCCGCTTTTTCCCCCGCTTTCTCCCCCGCTTCCTCCTCCGCTTCCTCCTCCGCTTTCCCCTCCGCTTTCCCTTCCGCCCCCTCCCCCGATTCCTCCTCCATTTTTTCTCCCGCTTTCTCTTCCGCTTGGTCCTCCGGTTTCGCTTCCGCTTTCTCTTCCGCCTTCACCGCTTTTTCCTCCAACCCACCGTCGTCGCGCGTCTCATCAGCCCGCTGCTCCTTCGCCTCGCCACTCTTCCCTTCTTGCTCCTCCGCGCCCTCCGTTCCCCCCTCGCCGTCAACTCCGTTAGCCACGCCATCAGCTTGCTTATTTCCACCAGCCTCAACACCCGCCGCGTCGACACCCGCATTTTCGTCCGCACCTGCGGGCGTCGCAGCAGCTGCGTCAGGCGCAGCGGCCGCGTCGACGCGCTCGACGTCATTCGCGCGACCGTCGCTCGCGTCGCCGTCGCCTGTCACCGCTTCCGCGTCTCGCATTTCCTCGTCTTTTCCTCCCTCCGCAGTCGTCGGTCCAGCGACCGGCTCCGCGTCGGTCGCATCCGCAACGCCGTTCTCGAGAAGGCCTTCGCCGTCAGCGTCCGCCATAGCAATGTCTTCGTTATTCGTTGCTATTCCGTTCGCGGCATCTTTTCCAGAATCAACAGCCTCTGGAGGTCGATCGCCGCCCCGAAATTTATCGCGGTCGATCAGATCTTTCTCCAATAAATCAGACTCTTCCATTTCGCTTTAAATGCTTCAGCTAAAACGCCTACGCGACAAAACTTCTTAGGTGAAACGCCTACGCTCAAGCAGTTTCACCTAAGTTCTTTCACCAAAACTAGAGAGAAGATAATTTTGACAGACAGCGAGACGGGGAAACGGGAAAACGGGGAGACGACGAGAGGTGAGGAGAGGAATGACAAGGGGAGCTAGGGTTACGAAACAGAAATGGCGAAATCGAGGCGTGGGTTTGGAAGTTTGAATTGTGGGAGGCGCCGAGATGCGGGGTCGAGCAAGGGTGGCATTTTGACGAGCGCGGAGAGCGTGCGTATATCGAGCCATCACCCCGACAGCCACGGAGAAAAATACTAGATAACAACAGCAGTTACGGTAGTTCAAATGATTCCCTGTTCTGCAAGGAGTGTTACCGGTAGATAACATGAATATTATATTGGGGGCAGGCTGTATGTTTGGATCTGTCAGGTGTGGTGGTTATACATTGGCAATTACATAGCAGCTGTACAGCGTGATTCACAGGGGGGCTGCAGTTCAACATCTTACCTACGGTAGTGATAAGGTTGTGAGAATATAGAGATTTCAGTTACACCATTCAGAGAATCAGTTTATCCGAATATATGTACATCCCCCATCGCTTAGCCTAAAGGTGCAGCAACACACTGTACCAGACTAAATAACAAATATCTACCGTTGAACAAGCCAGACAAGACAACGCCCTGAACTCTAAGCAGAATCAGATACATGTAGCAAGTTGTTAACATACTATAGTGAATGTATGTGATTGTATGGCATAGCATCTGAGGCAGCCATAATCTGCAAACCCCCACTCCTGCATCCCACTTTCCCCCACTTCCCTCCTGGACTGTCCTTCTTGCCTTCCCCGGTCCTCCACATGCTCCTCAAGCTGCTGCCAGTCTGTAGATGGCATGATGGCATGCCACATGATTACATGCGATGCCACACAATGATATGTTACAACACGACATGCCACGCCATGACATGTAATCGAACATGATTACATGCCACCGAATGACATGCCCACTCCACACAACACCATGCCATGACATGTCACGCTATGATATGCCACAACATGACATCCCACCCCATACCATACCATGCCACACACAACAACATTTGACAGACCATACTGAATCACACAATAACACACCACACTATGTCACATCATAGCACACTGTATCATACCACACTACATCATCCCACATGATTAGTCCACACAGAATCATACCACACTGCTACTGTACCACAAAGCGAATCACACTGCTCTTGTACCAAATAGTATCGTATCACACTACTATTGTACCACATGGTATCGTATCACACTGCAACACACCACGTGGCATCATACCACACTCTATCACACCACACTATGTCATACCATATCATGCCACCATCATTGGAACCACACCACACTGTATCATCATTACTCTGCATATATCATCACACACTCACACCACATTAGATAACACACACACTGCATTGTATCGATATCACTCTGTACCATACCACACTGTACCATACCACACCGAATCACACCACACTGAAATTGATGGGGTGGAAACTGATGGGGCGGAAACTGATGGGGTGGAAACTGATGGGGTGGAAACTGATGGGGTGGAAAATGATGGGGTGGAAACTGATGGGGTGGATACTGATGGGGTGGAAACTGATGGGGTGGAAACTGATGGGGCGGAAACTGATGGGGTGGAAACTGATGGGGTGGAAGCTGATGGGGTGGAAAGTGATGGGGTGGAAACTGATGGGATGGAAATTGATGGGCATACAGTACAATACCATACTAGATCATACAGACCACACAATATCATACTACACAGTGGAATACCAGAATGTGTTATTCCATACTAAATCATACCACACTTTATCATACCACAGCACCATACCAACTCCCTACTACCACCCCTAGCTTCCGACCCTCACCTGCCAGCAGTAAGAGCAGCTGACAGCCCACTCCCTTTCAAAAACAGCACCCTGAAGGGCTGTGACTTGTGGGGCGAGGTGTGCCAGTGGGAAATCGCTTCCAGCCCAAGACTCAAATCCCACCCCTGACGTGGCTAGAGCTAACGCGAACCAGAGCCGCCGGCCGGTCGACTCTGACGGTGTCCATTAAGCTTTGAACGCCAGATCGGTTACTTGAGCACCGAGTCCCGTGCCGCTCAGATTCCACCCACCACACGCCGAACCACAAGCCACAACCCCAAAGGATGCTGCCCCTAAGGAAGTGAACTGCCCGTTTGCTCCCATGCCTCCACCCACCCGCCCACCTCCCTTCACCCCATGCCTCTTTACCTCTACCTACCATGCAGCCATGCAGAGCGCCATGATGCCTGAGGCTGCTGGGAAGTGGGAAGGGAGGGGGAGGGATTAACAAAGGGCGAGACTCCACTGTGGTCTAGGCAGGGTGCTGCTGGGAGGGAAGGGAAAAGGGAGAGAGGAGGAGGTGGGTGAATGGGTCGACTCCCCACTCCGCCCTTGCTCCTGTGCTCCCACTCTCAAGCTGCGGGGAAGAAATGGGGGAGAAAGAGAGAGGAGGGAATCAGATCACCATACCCACCTGGAACCTTACCACACCTTTTACCAAACCTTCCCACACCTTGACCTAGCCTAGCCTAGCCCCCCAACCCCCACTGCTGCTGCTGCTGCTTCAGCTGCTGCAGCTGCTGCTGCTGGTCTGCTACAGCTACACAGCTTGCTCTGCTACAGTCTTCGCTCGATGCCAAGTGACCTGGTAGCGGGCATAGACAATGGAGAGGAGGGACAGGAGAGGAAGGGCGGGAGGAGGAACAGGTGAGTTGGCAGAAACAAGGAGCAGACTCAAGCTGACAGAAACGAAAATGGAAAAAACAAAGAGACAGCTGCAGCAATTAGAAAACTCAAGGGGTGGAGGGATGAGGCCAAGGAGGGGAGCTGACGCACCTTGAGAGGCCAAGCCCATCCCCATACTCTCCCTCGTGGCAGCGATTCAAGTCTGCTGCAGGCAGTGCTGCCTCCCTCCCATCCCCGTGCATACCTGCACGGCCACAGGGGAGGGGCATGGTGGAGCATTAGTGTTGACCCTAATTGAGTAATATGAGCGAGTGCATGCAGCAGCAGCAGCATGAAGCAAGCACAAGTGAGGAGCAGAGCAAGTGAAGCGAGGTGGAGGATGGCACTCACACAGACACGAGGAGCAGGGAGAGGCGCCCCCTGGCAGCGCTGTGGGCCGTCGAGTTGACCTGCGAGCTGCCCCTGTTGCTGACCCCTGGGCGAGTAGGGGCGCTGGGACGGTGCATCTGCCATGCGAGCAGGCAAGGGCGGGAGAAGAGAGTGAGCGCACGGCCAGGATTCATGTGCAGGGAGGGTGGCGGTATGAGCGCGGTGAGAGCATGGCATGGGATGAGATGAGACGGGGCATGCTGCAGTGCCAACACGCCCTCCACAGGAGCCAAGTACCAAACCAAACTTACCTTGCACCTGAACCATAACTTGAACCTCTAATTGAAAAGAAACCTGTACATTCACCAAGAAGGGAGGCTCTGTGGAGGGGTGGTTGGCATGACAGCAAGGAGGAATGCGCATGGCGGGGTATGGCAGTGCAGCGAGTGTTGGGATTTGGGCCCAAAGAAGAGATTGAGCTGAAACAGAAATGGAGCGCGTATGAAACCAGGATTGTGGGCTTATCTTTGTGTGGGCGTTGAGGGTGCTTTGCCGAGCCTTGCTGTGCTTGCGCGTTGGACTCCTGTAGAGGCTTGGACCAGTGAGCCTGACAGTCGGGGGTGAGGTGAGGGCGGGGGGAGGGAAGAGGGGAGGGAAGAGGGGAGGGAAGAGGGGAGGGAAGAGGGGAGGGAACGGGAGTGAGTATAGGGTGATACTTGAAAGGGGGAAGCGTGAATGTGCAGTGAGTCATGACACGGTCACCCTCCACGCCCTCCACAGGAGCCAAGTACCAAACCGTTACCTTTTACCTGAAAAGAAAAACCTGGACCTTCACCAGGAGAGGCTCTATGGAGGGGTGGTTGGCATGACAGCAAGCAGGAAGGCAGATGGGGGGTATGCATGCCATTGCAGAGCATGTCGGGATGTGGGCTGGAGAGCTTTTCGTGTGCAACAGGAACGGAGTGGGTAAGAAAGAAACCATAGGTGAGGGCTTATCTTTTGTGTAAAGCGTTGATGGTGCTTTGATGGGCCTTGGTCCTGCGCCTTCCTCTTGTGCCATGCTCGTGGGCCTTCCTGCTGCGCCTTGCACTCCAGTAGAGGCTTGGAGCAGCGAGCCTGACAGTCAGGGAGGGATAGGGTGAGGACGGAGGGAAGGAAGAGGGAAGGGAGCGGGAATGAGTGAAGGGAAGGTATGGAGGACACAAGGGGTGAAATGAGTGCATGTGCAGTGGGTGATGGTGCAACAGCCAATGCTCCCTCCACAGGAGCCAAGTACCAAACCTTCACCTTTTACCTGAACCAAGACCTGAACCTTCACCAAGGGGGAAGGCTCTGTGGAGGGGTAGTTGGCATGACAGCAAGGGGGAGGGCGGATGGGGGGATGACAGTGCAGGGAACATGAGCTTGAGCTGAAAGAGAAAAGGAGCGGGTATGAAACCAAGGAGAGTGGGCTTATCTTTGTGCGGAGCGTTGAAGGTGCGTTGCTGCCCCTTGCTGCTGTGCCTTGCTGCCCCTTGATGCTGCGCCTTGCTTCTTCACCTTGCTGTTGCACCTTGAACAGGCTTGAAGCAGAGGGCCTGGCAGTCAGGGTAGAAGGGAGGGAGGAAAGAGGGAAGTGAGCAGGAGAGAGTGAAGGGCCGCTATGGATGACAGAACGGGGAGAATGGGTGATGGTGAGCGTGAGCATGGGATGGCATGAGATGGGGTATGCCGCTGTGCCATGCCAACCACGCCCTCCATAGAAGCCAAGTACCACACCTCGTACCTCCACCTCTCAAATCTCACCTGAACCTTCACCTGAACCCAAAGCTGACCTACACCTGAACCTGCACCTGAACCGGCTCCATGGAGAGGCGGATGACACGGCAGCAGGTGGGGAGGCGAGGAAATGGCAAGGCAGGCAGCATGGCGGATGGGGGTTGCAAAAGCAGACAGGGAGCGGATGAGAACCCAAGGGCGGTGAGCTTATCTGTTGATGGCGCGTGCTCGGGCGCTGCAGGCCTTGGCGCTCGCTTGCAGGCGTGCAGAGGGGCCCTGGTGCTGCCTTGCGCCTATGATGAGTTGCCTCTTTTGCTCCTCTGCAGCTTGTGGCCACGCCGCCAGCCTTGTGAGCAGAAGGGCCTTGGCGTTCCAGCGGTCATTCAAACCTGCCAGGGAAGCGAGGAGAGAAGTCAGTGAGTACATGGCGGCAGGCAACAATCCAACGGAAAGAAGATGCGAATGAAGGACAGATGCACGACCACAGCACCACACGAGCCAGGTTGAAATAAAAAAGACCTGAAGGGGCACCTGAACCTGATCCGAACCTCAACCTCGACCAGGGGGGTGGCTCATATGGAGTGTGGCGGCAGGAGGTGAGGTGATACTCCAACCTTCGCCGTTGCAATCAATTGTTAGGACGTGAGCAGGCTTCCTCGCTTGTATTCATGGCTTTGTCAACGCTTTTCTTGATAGGTGCTGCTGAATCCTGCAAGGCAACGCAAACAAGAAGCTCAGTATGAGAACCGCATAAGGCGAAACCACGGCTGAAACAGCAACAAAGTGAAGTTTAACACATACTTTGGATGATGGTAGGCGGAGCGTAGCAGGTGAAGGGGGTGGGTAGGAAGGCGCAGCAGTGTTTTTTGCTGCATCCGGCGTCTTGATGATGCTCTAGCCAGCGTGTCATTGTTGCTGCAGCCACCGACGTCAGTGCCTCGTGCCTGCACGCAAACCACCACAAAATGTTATTTGCTGATTGGTTGCACAGCAGCAAGTAGCAAAACAAGAATCGGAATCAATTTAAAAAATAACCTTGGGAGCTCACCTCGGGAAAGTAATGGAGAATTGCAGTCAGAGAATCGGCGAATGGCAAATGGCGGGTGAGGGGTGGTGAATGCCTGACGTAAACGAAGGCGTACAGAGAACAGAGGAAATCAAAATGCTACTCTCCGTATTGTAATCGTGCAGCCGTCGGCCGAACGAATAGGGAAATTCAGGCTTGGACGAGTGAACTGATGGCGTGGACGTGTTTCACTGAACTGAAATTGGTTTGGAGTATAAGAAATGTGTCGAGAAAGGCAAGATGGAATGATCGGAGAGCCCTCTGCGAAATGGGAATGCTCCGAGGCAAAATGCCATGCAGTCGAATTCCGTGGGGCTTGAATCGCTGACGTCATGTTTGGCCAAACATTCGCGCCGTGGTAGATTCGACCTGAGCTTCAACGGTAAAAAACTGCCTTACTGGCTTCTACGGTGGTCCCAAAGAATGCCAGCAAGGAAAGAAAAGAAAAGAAGGAACGATTCGGCTTGGACCACGTCATTCAGAATCGAAAATCTATGGAGAAAGTATCCTCCTTGGGTGTTTCCAATTTGCCTACGTGTGCTTTTTCGAACGGTCAGTACCTCGCAGACCCACGTGAAGAAAGCAACTCCGAAGCTGGTCACATGAAGTGACGTGTTTATGAAATGCATGACGTGTACCCCACTTCTCATCACCAATCAGCTACATGGAGGCGCGCCAGCTCTACTTTCTGATTGGGTTGAAAAAGGCGGTGGAAAAACAGCCTTTCTGGTGGGCGGGAAACTTGTGCTTGGAGAATTGTGACTGACAACACATTGCTGGAAGAAAAAATGGAGAACTTGAGGTGGGGGGAAGAGAAGCTGGCGAGAGATCCAAGGTTGGGCGAAATAGGTTGGGCAATATTTTCTTCCCTCAATTTCGCAGCGGGGTTCAAGTTCAGCAACTTCAATACGGTACATACGGCGAACAGCGTATACTGCGTTAGGGTTATCTTTTTGCTGACTAGTTCCTGCAAACTTATCAAGAAAAATTGATTGCAATAGCAGTACTTCACATAAGGAAAACCAGTACAACAAATGGTATTTCGGAATAGCATTGTACAGATGTGCACAATTGCTTCACTTGCTATTGAGATTGCCATTTGTTTCAGGAACCAAAACCTGCATTGCATATATAATCACATTACATGTGTATAATACAGGATATAAGAAGATACTTTCATAGCCCACTGTCAGATGTTATAGTCTTAGTGATGTGTGTCATATGGGGTACAACAGTTAGGGTTAGGTTTATGTACCTCAACAAATCTTAGAGAACATCACCATTCCGTTCTTGACACCCACCTCCTCCTCTACTCCCTTTCCTGATCCCTCATGGTTTTCTCAACACTCGCGCCAACCCACCGGTTACCCTTGTTGAACTCCTCTCAGCCCATTGCTTCTAACATACCGGTACCGTACGTCCCTCCTGGCCACTTTCCTGGCCGTGTGACAGAGCAAATTGTACATTTGACAGCCTCTTTGGCCTTTGTCCGTAGTCCGAAAGCATCTCTACCCTTGCTCTTTGACTCAAAACTGGTACCGTACAAGTGCTACCACCAGGTACAGTTTGGAAGTACTGTAACCCACACACCTTACCCTAGCTATCCATACTCACATTTATATCCAGCCCCCTATTGAAGTTTGAGCACAACCTGACTGGTTAGTGATCAGTTCAGGTTTTCTTAAAGCCTCGGGCTCTCATCTCACATCAACCCCAGACAAGCTAGCTCTTAAACTACCATATTCCTGCACGCAAGACACAGAGATTTTTTTTTTAGGAACAACCGGCAACAAAGGGCCAACATCAAAAGAACGACGGAGCTTGGGGGTTTGGAGGTGGCTTACCTCATCCGGCGAGTCAGGGCATACTCTGACAAAAGGGGCTTGCAATCTTCTCCAAACGTACTTTAGGCCATGAAATGATCGGATCAAAAGGTTTTGATCAAGTGTATAAGCATGGTTATTGGATGCCTGAGCTTCAAAAGAGGTTTCCAGTTGCGATGACAAGTGGAAGGGCGAGGAGTGGAGTGGTAGGATCTTGTCACAAGGGCTATGCTCAAGCAGGTCTCTTGGGCCAACTGCAAAGAGTCCAGGGTGATCCATTAAAACACAGATTAGTGGCCATTGGGCCATTATGTACTGAACATTAACAATCCAAGGAACTGTGCTCATACCGTTGTCCTCCAGCTTGTGCTCAACAAAGTAGTAGACCAGAGGTACAACGTACCTGAAAATGGACACATGAAAGAACTGTCAGCTCGGACGAAAATAACAAACGAACATGCTGTCCCAGAATCTTTCAATTCTTACCATGCAATGACAACGTCCACTGTGTAGTGCTTGCGTGATGCGATTATCAATACCGACATAACTCCAGACAATAACCATGACAGATGCTTGAAGAGGCTGAAAAGGCAGCAATGAAGTCAAAGGCAAGCGAGACGCAGGCTCACAAGATGTCATCAGACACACGAATTCATCCAGCACAAAAAAACAAGGCATTCAGGTGAAGTACGAGCTCACAGATTGGTTCCATATTTGGAGTAGGTGATGACAACAGTGAGGATGAATGTCATGTGGGAGGAAAAGATGAGGTCACCACACCCATGCATGGCTGCGGCAACCACAGGTGCAGCAATATGATACTGGTTACAAATTGATAACAAGAAAGGAGAGAAAAATGATGTTTGGAAATCCGCTCTGCTCAAGGCATGCCTATAACAATGCTTCGCCCACCATTAAGGTACAGCACGTCCTGGATTCCAGTGTATTTGAGGATAGCCGTGGGAGATCCCTGCACGTTCATAAAGACCACAAGAGTTACACAGAAACCGAGCTCTGAAGGAGAGGGAAAATGGAAGTCGATGCTAGCATACCTGTCTACAATGATGTGCAGGACCAGGTAGTTGTGTTGCCGTAAAAGACAGTACCCGAAAAGTCTGACACATCTGTCAAGGCACCCGTTCTATCCACATTAACCATCACCAGTCACTATCCGACACACAAGCCAAAATAAGGAGAACTTAAGCTAGCTTCTTACCACAAATACCGTCAGAATTTTGCACCACACAAGCACAGTGTAAAATTGCTTCTTGGTGCACACGAAGGGATGGAATGTCCACTGAGACACACAAAAGAAAGTGTCAGATGATACTAAAGCAACACATCTATCACGGGAAAGCCAGGATACAAGAACATTTAGCATTAGAGAAAGCAATCGGACTGAGTCAGTGCAGTCCACTCCAAATGCTTACAACGCAGCAAGGAATGAAAATGGCGAAGAAGAGGTATTCACTGATGAAGAAATACTCAGGACCGACTTCCTGTCAAAAAAGCATGTGAGTACTTCAACACCAAGCAAATTCGAGTAACGCCATGACAGATCGAGATACAACAGCGGCTCATGTGAAAGGCAGAGGTTAACGAAGAAGCTCACAGGGACAAGTTCGAACCCGACATCATGTAACGAAGGACGAGGAGTGTGGAGAAAGTGAGCTGTTCGAGTTAAGAAACCGTGAACAAACTGCAGTTGAGCAGAAACACATGGTCAATGGTGCCCTCATTTTTTTTAACCAGGATCATTAGGAGCACGAGAGACGTGCCTGAAAAAGGATACCAGATGCAATAATCGACCACTTCTCCTTGAATAGTGACCATTCAGCAGCCACCTCTAATCGTATTCGGCGACAGAGCTGCGAAAGATAAGTAGGATTTTTTGTATTATCACATATATCCGACGAGGCATTGATGAGATGGAAGGAGATGAATAAGGGATGTTTCCGCGACAAACGCTAAAGAGCAGCTTGCCTTGCATAAGGTCCTGCTCGCAAACGAAGGGAACCCGTAAAGCACCATCGCACCAATCGCATCTAGTAGAAACTGATGGTAGCTTCAGTGCATGTATACGCGAGTCACAAAGAGCTAATCTTGAGTTAACGGCAAAAGTGGCACCAAAGAGCATACCTAAAGACGTAGGCCAGCTCGCCCTCAATTTTCTGCTTGGAATCTAGAAACTCCAGCCGCCATAGAGAAAGCGACGAGTAAAGTTCTGGGTGATGGTGAGAAAGGTTCACAACAGCTGGTGAAGCCGGGAGGAAGCAGACATGCACGCGGTCCGGTAGCCTTAACGACCATCCCAATGCCAGCATCCCAAACCCACGTCAAGTCGCCAGGCTGGTCTGACGTGGCATCGCAGATCTGGCTCTGGCGGTCCGATTCGCGTGAAGTGCTGGTCAACTGAGCTTTCTGGCGCAGGTTATGGGTGGTACAAAAACGGCAATCAGTTCAAGTCGTGTCTCAGAATGAAAACGTCACGGTTTCCGTTCGTGACTCTGTTTCTTGCTGACGTCGGCCCAGCTGGTCGCATCAGCAGTTGGCTGAAGTTCCTATTAGTCATCAGGACCCGCGAGGCAAATTCGACACCCCCCAAGCTGACGCCAGCAGCACTATTTTGAGCTTGCTTCAGCTTGAAGGCCCGTTCAAGAAGCGCCAGCTGAACAAAACACTGCGTACGCGTTTCGAACAAATTCGGAACAGTAACAAAAACTTTTTTTTTCCTTATGCAACTTGTGTTCTCCTGATTGCATCACTCAGCTTGCTCTGTGTCAGACACAGTGACTCAAATCCATCCTTTCAACTCTCGTCCAGATTCCAAGCAGAGCCAAGATGCTGTGGTGCAATGGCTCCACTCCACAGGCCTCAGTTCTCGTACTAATCCATCAATCAGCCCATCCGTTCATTCATGCGATGTCGACGTAGTGTGCTCTAGAACTAACTTATTGTCGTCATCTACTAATCCATGTCAGTGGGGATGAACAGCTTCAGCAATAAGTAACTTTCAATCTCTGTTGCCTGATGGCTCCGACACTCGCATTGTCCGCTCCTCTTTCATACCTATCCACATCCCGTGTCAGAGTTGCCGTTCGAGCCTCCGTTAGACATTCACGCCACGGCTCAAGCAAGAAGCTACACATTTCCCAGATTCCAACACCTGTAGATGCGCGAGTCTCGCCGATCAGGCATCGGCCGTCGCGGCTGTCAATATGCAGGTCGAGGAATTTCGACGACATCGCAGAGCCGTTGAGTCCTGAATTGAGCGACGCACCGACGGACCACCCCGCACCGCCTCCTGACGCGACGACATTAGAACATCAAGCCGGAGATGTGTCTGGAGCAGCGGAATTTCAGCATTCGGACATCAGTCACCATGGAGCTCCCATGCCAGAAGCCAACCAGCCGTCTGCCGGCGGTACTGAGCGTCTTGACATACCTCACAACAATGTCTCGTCGCAGTCGGTCGCAATTCGCGAAAGCTCGCTCGAGTCGTCGCAATCTTCGCAATCATCGCTGGGGAACGATTGGTCCTCTGCGCATCAGTCCGAACCACCGCGAGAAACTGGATTGTACAGAGCCGGAGCCTTGGCGAATCGTTCAGAGAACCGAATAACCCCGCAATTCGCGAGCGTAAAAAACGTCGGTATTCCATCTGCTGCGGTTACAGGCATTACGTCTGATGGCCTAATCAACGGCGAGCAGTCATATACTGGCGCATCTTCCGCGTCGAACAGCAGTGAGGAGAAGAGCCTTGCCGAGGCGGCAACAGCAGTGGCAGGGACGAGCGAAGCAGCGACGATCCCGACAGCGGCTGGTGATGCGGCAGCAGTAGTGAGGGACGCGATTGGGGAGATGGAAGAGGGGAGTGTGGGTGGCGTACCGGGCGGGGAAGGCGTGGGGGTTCAGTTGCAGCAGGCGCAGGCGCAGTTGCAAGCGCAGCTTCAGGAGCAGCTGCAGGCATTGGAGAACCTGATGTCGCTGCTCGGCCTAGGCGTCGCTTCTGCTGCGAATTCGCGGAGACCTGCGGAGCCGGGGGAAGAGTGGGGGGATAGCGGAAGCGGAACGGCGGATTGGGTCGGCGGACGAGAGGAGCGCGCGCGTCGGAAAAGAGAGAAGCTGGCCATGGCGCGTGCAGCGAGCAGGCTAAAGAGCATAAGTGTTGCGAATATGGACTATAATACGAGGAGCATCGGATTTGGCAGCAGCGGCAGCAGTAGCGCCATGGGTGACAGTGACGGGAGCGACAGTAGCAGGGACAAAGATACGGCATTAGGGTTCACTGGCACAGGGAGTCAGCCGGTGTCGACTCGACCCTTCGAGAATCGAAGTAAGCAGTACCAAGACGATCCTGCCAGTCAGCAATCTTCCCCCCTCGCTTCTCCCGCGGCCTCGAGCGTTACTTCGTCCACCCCTTCCCCGTTCGCCTCCCCCTCGGGCGCGGAAGCAGAGGGCGCGGAGCGGAAGGTTCTAGAGCGCGCAGTGGTGGAGATGGCGTTGCTGCAGGAGGTGTCGCGCGGCGGGATCGAGGGCTCGACTCTGGAGGAAGAGTGGGGGGAGCTGCGCCAGGCAGTCAGCCAGGACCCGCAACTCTCGCGACTCTATAACGAGTACGCGCGCGACGCGCTTCTGGCGCGGGAAGAGCAGCGGCGGCAGGAGGCGGGCGGGGGAAGGTGGAAGGTGGACGCGCGGGGGAGGAGGATCAGGAAGCGGAGACGGGGGCGGAAGGCGGAGGCGGAAGGGGAGGAGGGGATGAGCAGCAAGGCGCGGACGGAGGAGAGGCTGCGGCGGTGGAGGGCGGGGGTGGTGGCGGCGGCGACTCAGAGCACAGTGGTGGAGGTGGCGACGATGGTGGTGCTGACGGTGCTGCCCATTGCGGCAGGCGCGTTTGTGTATGTGAACGTGCAGGAGTGGCTCAAGGCCGTGGCGCCCCAGCCTGCCGTTGTGGAGAAGGAACCCTGGTAAGACTGGGAGGGTGGCGTGGGGTTGGGTGGGGTGTGGTGAGGCTGGGAGAGGTTTCAGACAGGAAAATCCGTCGTAGGATGTGAGAAGGGGTCATAAAATAGGTTGTCAAGGGGAGTATGATAATTATAAACAGCAGCATCACCACTCCCTCCGCACCATATTCCTGCACTTCCTGTTGCCTTCTCGCCTTGTCCCCGACCACCCATGCTCCTCCCGCACATGCCATCAGGTGGATGCTGTTTGGCCCAGCAGCCAGTGCAGCGGGCACAGTGTTTGGAATGGCAGGGCTGGGCTTCGCAGCCAAGACAGCCGCAGCGGCGCCAGTGGCCGTGGCAGTGGTGCCGCAGATGGACGCCCTCTGGCGCTCCTTTGGAGGCGCTAGCCTGGTGCGCCCACCCTTCTTCTCACGCTCCATCCCTTCTCCACGATCGCTTTTCGCATCGATTGAGATTTTTCAATATGGACTCCAGCCTTGTTCTTGCGCTTCCTCAGTGCTTTGTGAGACGCTTGTGTTGCATTCAGAGTCGCCCCCGTTCCCACCTGCTTCTCCCTGCTCCCTGTGTGTCCGTCCATTGGCCCCCCTTGCAGGTGGCGCTGTACTGGCGCACGCTGGTGTTTGGCAAGACGTTTCGCAGCATAGAGTGGGACCTGGAGGCATACGATGCGCCCAACGGCAACATGAAGTCCATCACCATCCGTGTGCCCTCCCTCGTCAGTCTCAACCCCACTTCTTACTACTCCACTACTGGAACCCGTGCCTTGTTATCTATTGCTCCCTGGGTGAACACTGAACCAAAAAAGCGATAATGCTATGAGCGCCCGACATCGCAAATCCTCCCCATGCTCCTTTCAGTACAGCTGTGAAAGTAGAGTTATGCTTCTCGCAGTTCTCACACCACTTTCCCTGTGCGTCACACTTCTCCACCCTCCCTGCGACTCTTCCCCTCTGCTCGGGCAGAATGCAGTGCGCACCAAGATAGCGCTGGCGAATGGCCTTGCGGGCGCCAGTGAGGTGGAGCAGCTGGCGCTGTGGATCCCCAACTCTGGGGACTTTGTGGTCAGTGCCTCACTGCACCACCTCCCACCCAGCTCCACACATTGTGTTTGTGATGATGCATCTGCCCCTTTGCTTGTGTCCCACTCTGTATGTATGTTCCTGCCTGTCCATGGAAGTGAATAACATTGTATCTTCTAACAATGACTCAATTGTTGCTGTCCCTCCCCCTCCCAGGAGCCCCTGCGCCTGGCCAAGGACCTGGCGCTGATCCCGGACTTTGGCTTTGTCATCTGGTCGCGCACTCCTGCCTCCCTGCACTGCCTGCCCTCCCGCGCTGCCAAGACCATGCCCTCACCCACTGCTGCAGCAGGGTCAGCTGGCGCTTCTGGGGGTGGAAGTAGCAAGGCCACAGCGGCTGGTGCTGCCGTTGGAGGGAAGGCTGGTGGTAGCGACAGTGAGGCAACGAGTGTAGGTAGCAGCATCGGCAGTAGCGGCAGCTCTAGCAGCAGCAGTAGCAGTAGCAGTGAAAGTGATGGAAACATTGGTAGGAGGAGTAGCTCGGCTGATCTAGGAGTTGGGGGCATGGGTGATGATTTAGTGTGGGGTGAGCGTAACGGTGGCAGCAGTGGCTGGGCACAGCAGAGTGAGGCGGCAGCAGTGCCAGCAGCAGGAAATGGAGGCATGCAGGCTTCAGCGCAGCAAATGGTGCAAGGCCAAGTGGCAGCCAATGGTGCTGTGGCTGCTGCAGGAGTGGCACGCCCAGGAATGTCGGGACTGCTTTCACCATCTGTGGGAAGCAGTTCAGCAGCAGCAGTAGCACCAACAGTCGCAGCACATTCACGAGCAATAATGCCAACTGCAGCAAGTGCACCACTTGCAACAGCACAACCACCACCAGCACCACCACCAGCACCACCATCACCAGCAGCAGCCACATCCGTCCAGTCAATGGGGACGAGTCCAGGCACATCAGCACCTGCTTTTGCTGCTGGTGATAGCAGCCGGCGTGACAATTGGGAGACGCAGGGAGTACAGGGGATGAGTGATGCCGACATCGCTGTTGCCATGATCCAATTCATAGTAACCACCTCTGCAACACTGTCCGTCACGTCTCCTCCTTGTTCAACTGCCGCTTCCTCCTCCCCCACTTTGATACCCAATACAGCACAATCACAAGCTTTTTCAACAGCACCATCAGCAGCACCAGCAGCAGCAACAGCACCAGGCTCAGAACCCAAGGGTGGGAATGCAGCAATCTCAGGTCCAATAGCAGGTGGGCCCTCCAATGGCAGCGTCTGTGCTCTTGAGTCAGCCAATCAGCTGCCATTCACAGCAACCATAATGGAAGCTTCTGTC